CACAGTCTTCCCACTTGTTAACTGTAGATGAGTAAAAGCTTTAAATGCAGGGCAAAAGGATCATTCTTGGAGAACCACAATTTAAAGTCTGGTGCCTGAGACATTCCAGTTTTATTCAGCAGCATACGGTGGATAATCTGAATAAGTTAAAGGCCAGGCAAGCTGCTCATGCCAGTTTAGTTAAAGCCCACACTCAATGAACACAGCTTTTTCTAGTTTGGATAGTTGAAGTAATCAGAAAGACTGTTCAGCACAGAAACACAGGTGATCTGGAGTTACAGATTATTAAAATAACTTTGGTTCTTAGATGAAATGATAATTCATATGGGACACCTGGTTTACACCTACCTGTATAAATCAGAAACATTCAAATTCATCAGAAGTCATAGTTTAGTACTTTATGTAATGACTGACCATACATGATTAGACACATACACTACAGCAGTTTTGCCAGGTGTAAAAAGGTTAAACCCTTTGCTAACATGCAACACCAAACCCAACCAAACAAAAAAACAAACCCCCAAACCAGTGCCTGAAGAAGGAACTGGGGAAAATCACACAGTTCTGTCACATTTGTGGAAAACCTGCATGTGTAAACTGGAACAGCCTCAGGCAACCTTGAACTTCTCCAGCTGGTAATTACTGGCAAATCACTCATTCACCTTGGCAATAATCTAAGGGTTAGACTGTAATACAGACTTTCTTAAATACTATCACAGATCTGTTTGCCACAAGCCTTCCTCCTTAACACAGGGCTTCAGCTGTGATTTCTAAGACAGACCAACTTGCTTTACAGAGTTATCCACCTACCCTCATTTAACGCAGCTGCCATGTACTTGCAGTTTTGAAATGTATCTGTCTTAAACTCCTCCACCTTTGGAGATTAAAAGACCTAGAGTAAAAGCAATCTTCTCATGACACCCAAGTCCCTGCCACTTTATCCTCTGGCTCCAGACAGAGAGTCGGCAGGACTACATTGGAAGCAGAAGCCTGCAGATACTTGTATACTATTTTAATTCATTCCTTCTTCTCCAGTCTGGCATTTTCCAGCAGCACAGATGTATCTCCACTGACATTTACATTTTCACCTTCCTTTCCTTTTTGCTTGCCTAGCCTGCATGATTCTCTGCCTTTCTCTAATCTGCTGACATACCTCTAGTCTTCTAACATTCCTTAATGTGATTTGTCTTTACAGTCACAGCAATCTATTCAACCAACACAGACAATACAGGGGATAATTAACAGGTTAGCAAAAGAAAAGAATAATCAGTGATTTATGCAAATTAACCAGTCACATGCATGACCATAACTTTCTTCCTTGACGCTGGAAGGAAGGTGTAAGGGACAGTCACAGCACCAGCTGAACTGAGCAGAGGATTTTAAGGCGTTAATGGTGTTAATTCCCACGAACCAAAGCAACTAAATGTCTCCAGAAGGACAAAAATAAATACTGTTGTGATGCACACGTTCCCACTGCCGCCGTGAAGGGTTTGAACCCAGGTTTTTTCTGCAGAGCAGTGAGATGTTTGTTTCGTTTTGCTCCGTTTCAGAGTTACCGTCCGGTAGCTGATGGCCCCGAAAGGTGTAAACCGGGCCGAGGAGTGGCCGTTGCTCACCCCACAGCCTCTTCAACTACAGAATGAGTGCTGCCATCATGTGGCCACAATTCGGTACTGCAAAGGGGGGGTGTCAGTTGGAGAGCCGCTCTCTGCCGCCACCGCGTGGCCACACTTCGGTATTGCAGAGGGAACGGTTTGTCGCTGGGCGCTGTTCTCTGCCGCCATCGCGTGGCCACACTTCGGTATTGCAGAGGGAACGGTTTGTCGCTGGGCGCTGTTCTCTGCCGCCATCGCGTGGCCACACTTCGGTATTGCAGAGGGGACCGGTTTGTCGCTGGGCGCTGTTCTCTGCCGCCATCGCGTGGCCACACTTCGGTATTGCAGAGGGAACGGTTTGTCGCTGGGCGCTGTTCTCTGCTGCCATCGCGTGGCCAGAATTAAGCACTGCAGGTTTGCCGCTCAGCGTATCGCTGGGCGCCGCTCTCTGCTGCCGTGACGTGGCTGGAATTCGGTACTGCAGCTGACGGCGGTGTGTCGCTGAGTCGCTCTCTGCTGCCGTCGCGTACGAGTATTCGGTACTGCAGTTCGGGCGGTTGTCGCTGAGCGCCTCTGTGCTGCCATTCGGTACTGCAGAGGGGGGCGGTGTGTCGCCGGGCGCCGCTCGCGGCTGCAATGGCATGGCCAGAATTCGGTACTGCAGAAGAGGCGCGGTGTGCCGCTGCGCTCCGCTCTCTGCTGCCATCGCATGGCTAGAAGTCGGTACTGCAGAGATGGGGGCGCCTTGTCGCTGAGCGCCGCTGTCTGCTGCCACCGCGTGGCCAGAACTCAGTACCGCAGGTGGGAGGCGAGGTGTCGCTGGGCGCCGATCGCTGCTGCCATCGCGTGGGCAGGACTCGGTACTGCAGCCCGTGCTCACGGCCGTACGCGTCAGGGGCACAGGAGTACCCTGGCGCACGCAGGGCTCTAGTTCCGGCAGCAAGGGCAGGCTCCTGCTTTCAGCAATTTGTGGTTTCCTGTCCATCTCCTCTTCCCCCCCCCCCCCTCCCAGTTATATATTCCCTCCTCTTTGTTAGTTCCCTTATCACTGTATTAGTAGTGGTACTAGTGGTGCTAGCATTGTATTGTTCTTCAGTTATGACGCTGGTCTCAAGCCCTGGGTTTTATATTCTTTTTAATCTCCTTCCCGTCACATCATACTTACCTGCCTGCTGGGTTCAAAGCACTACGCACTCACTGTGTAATGCCTCTCTGCACAGCACTCTTGAGGTCCTGAAAGCCCAGCCCACAAAATGAAAACATCCCACCACTGCCCCAACACCAAAGGTGCCTGTTGCTGGGCCTCACCTTCCCTTATCGAAGACTGTAACAGCCCCACCAGCACTGGGATCTGCACTTGCTTAGGTACCTAACACTCTCCACCTACAACGCCATCTGAGGCTAGCTATCTCAGGCTCTGCAGAGCCCAGCTCCAGAAGTGAAAACACCCAGCTGCTGATCCCACACCAAAGGTGCCAGGACAGAAAAGCTGATGTGGCCTTAACCTTCCCATAGCAAGCAGCAGAGTGGCCCCACCAACAGTTGCAGTCTGTGCTTGTTTTGGCACATACTGCTCTCTAGACCTGTAGTGCTCTCTCAAGCTCTGCAGAGCCCAGGTCCAAAAGTGAAAACATCCAGACACCGCTCCCACCAACCACACCTGCCAAAGTTCATGCTGGGCCTCACCTGCTCTTGGCAAGCACTGGAGGAGCCCCACATTTTTAGAGCTCTAACCTTTGTGTATATGTAGTTAAGTGCTCAGTAACTGCTTCGGAAAAAAAAAAACCAAAACAACAAAACCCCAAACCAAAACAAAACCCCATACACAAACCAAAGGACCTCCCCGAAAACAAAACACCCCCCCCAACTGAAACAACACACACAAAAAAACCCACCACAAATAAAAATAATAATTAAAAAAAACAACCCAAAAGACAAAAAAAACCACCAAAACAAAACCAAAACTATTTTAACCAAGAACTGAGGGCAGACATGAACAGCAATCCTGTACCCACTGTTTCCACCACTGAAGTCATTATAACGTGTAAGTCTTAAGATTTACATTATTAAATTTGCGTTTTTTTACACTATTTTACATTACCAAATTTGCAGTGCTAATGCTGCAGCACTTCACTGAGACAGGAGTAATTGGGAGAGGCTGGTTTTGAAATTCACAATAAATAGTGAATAGAGAACTAGAGTAAATTGAAGTATTACATGTGAACTTACCTCCTGTAGAGCCTAACCTGCATAAAGAAGGTAAGGAAGGTAACCGCTTGCAGAGAAAAAGACTTCCAACCCACTGCTATTTTAAAATAAGAAAATGTGTTATTTTAGCACAGTTATTCTCTATGGCCATGGCTTAATTCAAAAGCACTGGGATATAACAACAAGTAAAATATGCATGTGGTTGCAATTAGCCACTTAGATAAATGCTCCTACAGCAAAATGTAGACAGCAAAAGACAACTCAATTGACAAGCCACTTAGCAGAAGAGGACTGCCACATTTTTTAACACCATCAACTTTGTGATTTCATTTAGGAAGACAGCAGAGCAAAAGCTGTCCTTTTCTTCTTCATTTTGATACGAAGACATGACCCTGAACTCTTCAGAAGAAGAGCAGAAAGGTTATCTGGATCACTACAGCAAAAGCAACTCAGGATAGTTACACCTTACAGCATACTAAACTTGGGATGTCCAGGACACAAATGACACCACTGTAAACAGTCCAGAAATTTTAGCATTACAATTTTCTCCAAGATGCTTTGCATGCCATTTTGAACCCTTTCTTTCTGCTGATTCAAAAAATACCACCAATATCTCATCACTAAGACAAATGAAAAACAGCACCCTGCTACAAACAGTTTTTTTGCTAGTCAAATTTTCCACCTGCTCTAGTAGCAATAGTAATGAATGCATCTTCTAGGGTAAGGTATGCCTCAGAAATGAACTGGTCAGTAGAAGCACAGAATGGACACGAGATTATATACTGTTTCCATAGTCTTATTTTAAGATACATTCTAACTAGCTACTGAGTACTCCGAACAGGTCTGATAACAGGATTGTGTAGGAGTATCTTTAAAACTGTGTAACTAGATTATGTGTAAATCTACATGCTACAACACTACCAAAGCTATTTGGAAGAGTAGTATAACAAGTACACTAGCACCAACAGAGTGATTCAAGAGACAAATCTACCACTCCTACTTGTACCATGTATTTCCCATGGATCCACACTCATCATTTCAGAAGCCCTGCTGTAGACAGCTCCAACTCACTCCACAAAAGAGCTCTGCTTTGTGTACAAACATTACGCAGACTACAGCCGTCTCCTCACATAGGCAAAAATGAAAGTTGGCATGTTCACAAATGCATTTCAGAAACAATAATGTACTACAATCTCCTTTATTATTTTAAAAAGTTTTATTCTGTATATTTAGAAACGTGTAATTTTAATAACTGCAGAGAAAAAAAAAAATCAGCCACACCTGAATAGCTAATAACTCATTAACAGAATGCAGTGGTATATTATCTAAACAGTAGTAGTGCCATTGTGCCGTAATAAATCGTCTATTAGTAAAAAAATACATTTCAGGGCACATAGTACAGCATCCTTATGACAAATTACAGTAGGGATACTTTTCAAGAATTTAATCAAAGTAGAGAATTCCGAGTTATATTCTTTAAATGCAGCACTTTAAAAGGTAACAACTTTGTGCATTTTTTTAAAAATGTCCTTGTTCATATATTGTAGAAATGCTGCTTTATTGCTGCAGATGTCAAAGTTCAAGGCTCAAAAGGTATGAGAATACAAAGATATCCTTAAGAAACTTTGTTTTTATATATATTTATATATATATAAAAAGGTAAAGCTTATAAAAGTTAATTTACAAACCAGGAACAAAAGTAGTATGCACGCATTATATACAAGCAGTCTAACACATCTATAAATTTTCAAATGCATAGCAGAAAACATACCATCATTTTCTTCTGGTTCTCTTCTGGCTGATGAACACACACAATACTCATTCTCTAAACCAAACTCACAAGTTGTTGTTCTGTGGTTTTCCCCCCCCTCTTTCCCCAGTCTCTAATGAGAGACCTCATGCTAGGTAAGCACAAAAGCCGTACAAACTCAATACAGAGAACTATGAGAGCTAACACTATTAAAAACATGAGGGTAAGGCATCCCTGCTGGTTAATAGGTCTGAAATAACGTGGTTAAATTTACAAATCCACAGAGGCAACTGAACCATAGTCATCCCTCATGCTTTTCCCCCTCCCCCCTGTTCTCATGACAATGTTTCCATATACAGTAAGTAGATATGTTTACAGTAGCCTCTCAGCAGAGGAAAAGATCTGAACTGTGCTACCCCAAGTTGATTGCCATTTCATTGGACACGTACACCAGAAATTGTTTAAAAACTAGAGACCAAAATGTAGTCTTGTGAGTTACAAACACACAGCCATAAAAATGCAGGCCAAATTCTGTGTTTTAACCGGTGAGTATGAATTAACTTCAGGTCCTCTGAATATAGTTCCATTGGTTCTTTCAGATTTTAAACAATAAAACACTAGTAGTGCCCTTTAAAAAAAAAAAAAGGATACCCACAAAAGAACAACCGCCCAAAGCATACAGATCCTGCAAAAACCCCTTGTTCCCACTGTACCCTCCTCCCTGCTTGTGGCATGTATTGTGACCATGGCTCAAAGAGTGTACTTGCTAAACCATTGTTAGTTAAAGCAAGACGCTTAAACACTAAGATCCATTATCACTTAGAGAACAGTTAATACTTGATAGAGTGGTTCAGTTTATACATAAGGTCCATCTCAGTTTCACATTATTTACTCAATCAGCTAACTTAGTATTTAGAAGTGGTCAATTAGGACTGAGACACAGTTTGCTCCAACAAGATAGTTTGGATCCCCGGGAAGAGACTTGTTCTGCCAGGTTTTGGGCTCACCTGTGGGAGGAAAACACAATGCTGGTGTTTAGTATCTGCTGTCAAACAGTATACATCTTGAACAACCGAGCTTTTGGACAGGAGTGTCTACGTTTTGAATCAACACTGGTATGGGTTTTATGTTTGTTTGCTTGGAGGCTGGTTTTTGTTGTTTTGTTTTGGTTTTTTTAAACCCTGCAGTTTATGTTATTAATGAAACAATAACCCTTTACTTCCATGTAACATAGGAAAGATCAGTTATTCAAAACAGATGCTGTGGCCCTTGGGAATCATTAAATACAAGTCATTCTACAGCACCAAGGTAGTGCTTTCCATTTGAGAAGTGTTAACAGTGTATCGGGTATTCACCGGCTCTTTCCAAAACTGCCCGGAAAAATAAGACATTTTAAAAGCTAATCTGGGTAGGATGCATTTGAAATTTCATCAAACAGTTCTGAACACAGGTAAGTCTAATCAGAAGTTATGACACACTGGTAGTTTTCTATTATGAAAACTATTGTAGACAAGACTGTAGTTACTTTACAGCTACATCCAGTATACTAATTTAAAAGTTTGAAATACTGACATTCTAAAAGAATTCCAGTTAACTGGTATGTACTTCATCTTTACAACAGATCTTATCCACTCATGGTCAAAGGTTCTGCATAACATTCTCTTACAAGGCAAAGTCATCAGCTGCCATCTCACCAGACAAAGGTTATACTCCATCTGCACAGCCAATTGTTTTTCAAGTATCTAAACATAAACCCACTACTAAATGCTGCCACTGCATACAAGGTATTATCATTGCACTGCAGTAGAATAGTGAAATATGCACTCAGTTCTCTTAAGCCTTCCAGATAACTGACATGAAATACCTTGGCCGAAACAGATCTGCCCTGAGAAACGTGCAACGAGCTACAGAATCCAGTCACACAGGCTGCACACACATGAGACCTCTCTATTAATTAAGACTGATGCAAAATCCCCAATTTTCTTGAAGAACTCATGAAAACATAATGAAGTACACAATGCACTGGTGTGGAGTGATGTCAACATCTGATGCAGGGACGAAGAATAGAAGTGGCCTTTGTACAGTTAAGAGAGTGCAAACAGAGAGTGCAAACAGCTAAGACTACTTGTTTCAGTCAAGAAGCTCAATAATGCTGGAGAAGTTTTAATTTTATAGATGTAGGGAAAGCCATTCAAAACTTCACCTGAACGAATATACTTGGGAGAAGGGTAAAGCAGGACTGTAGGACAACAAGGTCCTAGTCTTGCCCATGAAACAAATGGCAGACAATCTTCCAATCCTTCCTCCTAAATACATAGTAAGGATCAGACTAGCCAGTGCATCCTCTACCTGTTGAGGAAGTTTTTACCATACTTACATAGAACTGCTTTGGAGAAAAAAAAAAAAAAAAAAAAGGACAATCCTCCAGAATTTTTTACCGATACATTCTAATAAATGTGGCCATAAAAGGCAACTCTTTTTCCCAAGTCAGTTTTAATACCAGCATCATTCAAGCTTTTGAAGGGGTTTGAAAGTATCAATATAAGAGGCTTAAATGCAGCAGAAAGATGTTAGTAAGTGCAAATGAATGTCACTTTTAGGACAGAACATGGATACATTGAGAAAAGATGAGGTAGAGCAGACAACTGAAGAGAGAAAAAACCCAGAATTCTATAAGCTGTTATTATAAAGCCACCTCAAAAATCAGAGTCCCATAAGCAACTAATTTAGAAAGAGAGAAAACAATTATTTATTTAAGACACAGTATGGTCTACTTACATATCATAAGACAGAATTGCCTAATTTTAAAGTTTGTCTCAAAAAAGCAATGTTATGATATACATCCCATTTCAGATTAACAGAATGTGGTGTTATATTTACAGTACAGAAAGTGTTAGGGCTTAAATATACACGCTCTTGCTCTCACCCACACATGCGCGCGCGCACACACACATCCCACTTTGTAAAGGGAGAAAAATGTCTCAGTAACTTCAGTTATTGTTCAGATCATTTTAGTCCTCTCCCTTCACTTCAAGTAAGTTCATGAACAGGTGCTATTAGTTACAAAGGAAGGTCGTGTCATTTTTGTACACAGTTGTCATATCTTTTGGGACCCTATAATTTATAAGTTTGGGTTTTAACACTGCCATTGTATACTCATGTTGTTAAATAGATGCATGCAACACGTGCATATAATAGAGTGTAAAAAACAACTGAAAATTATTGCCATTAAACTTCTAGGTTATTGAATCCCCATCAAGGGGATTGATGCTTTAATCTTTCAAAGCATCAGTGCTTTGGTGTTGACAGTGATAGATACATTAGTGACAGAAGATACGCATACATGGTGGCTTAAATGCTCTATACAGAATTACATCATTCAGTCATTACTTAGATCATACATACACAGTAATGGTTTGAAACTTCCACCACAAATTTTGAAAGTAGCTGAATAAAACCTTAAGACTTTTTCCCCAGATGTGCAAATATTCCTTCTTAAAATCTCTGTAACGTCACAGCCATTTCATGAAATTGCTTGAAACGTGCCCAGAATTCTCAATTAGGCTCCTCACTGACAATTTCAGCCAGTACATTCTCCCCTCATCCCAGAAAGCCAGAGTGAGGTAAAAATGAACAAGTAAATTAAATTGCAACCTAGCTGTAACTTTTACTATCAACCAGAAAATTCTGGGTAAAAGGCAGTAGAGGAGAAATAGGCAGAAGCAACCAAGAAAAGTCTTGTGGAAAATCCAGCTACATTAGAATGAATTGCAAATGCTTTTACTGAACACTATAGTTTTCTTAAATGACCCAATTGTTAGCATCAGCTTGCACACGTGAAAACAGTTAACAAGCGTTAAATCATGATTTATGAGCATGCAGATTGTTAAGATTTGCAGAGTCCTATATGGTTAATTAAGCAACAGACAAACAACAGTTATGTTACAAAGGCCAATCAGAGGTACATATAATTTCCTCTCAGTTTTAGTGCGACTATCATTTCAAGTGTGTTCAGCTGTAGCAGTCCTCAAGAAAGAAGACAGAATAGAAAAATACAATTATATTTAATAGACTAGAGATATTATTCTTTTTCTGCTATCATGGTTTTAGCTATGAACTGGCACCATGAGTAAATGTAAGAAAGACATTTGTAATGGAAGTGAAATGGAAGAGTCTGACACAAATACAATGATTGAGTTCTTTGTATTACACAGCATCACCTTTAGCCAAATTAATTTAAATTATACGATAGCACCCAAAAGCCCCAAAAGGACAGAGGGAGGACAGCATACCCGACGAGGAGTCAGAGGATTTTAGAGCAAAAGACCAACCATCAGGGGTCATAGACGCACAGTGTGGCAGGCGCAGCTCCACTGGCTTCAGGAATTTTAGTCCATGAGGCCCACACATTACCAAGGGGCTAAGAAGTGTTTCACCTGTATTTAAGAGAAAGAAGAACCTGTTAATGATTCTTCATGAAATAGGCTCAAGGTATTACATAATTACATTGCACAGCTACTCAGCCATTTAGAGAAAAATATGAAACTTTTGACCTGTCAGTAAAGAACAGCACCTAGCAAGACTGTTGCTCACTGTCTCTTTGAGAGTATTCAATTGGCTTTTCAGTGGAACATATCATAATTTCTAAATTTAAAAGGATAAATAAGTGTGATGATTAAATCATGCTGGGTGTCAGCTTTTTTTAGCCACTAATTTCTAAGCATGTGCATCAAAACAAACAAATCCCCAAATCTGTAAGCAGTTTGTTCCTATTTCTCTCTGCAGTATAGCTGCAATGTTCTGCCTGTATGGATTTATGGCACATTGGGCTGAATAGAGCCTACGACCCTTATTCTAACAGTCAAAATATAAACATACAAATATATAGGTCTATTCTCAGTTTAAAAATCCAAAAATTAATGTACATTATTCAGTTAATTAATACCCCTATGTTTAGTTCATAAAGATTCAAAGTAACTGCAGATTGCAACTAATGCTTTAACTGTGAATTTATTAAACTAAGTTCCTTGAAAATTCAGAATCTGACAGGTGAGAAAAATGCACATACACTGGACTAGGGGTATGAAAGACAGACTTACTATGAAAAAGTTGCTTAACTAAACACACTGTTCAACCTTTAGGAATAAGACTATCAAGAAAATATTTATATAAAAGAATACTTTTCAAAACCATGAAAAAAATAAAATGCGAAGCATTTTCAAGTATTGAAGTAAATTCTAGATATTAAACTCAAATTAGTTCCTGCTTAGTGTTTTTGGTTCTAACTGGGAGATGAAATATTTCTAACAAGCAAGCCTAGAATAAATCCCTGCACTGTGAGGGAAGCTACATTTTCAAAGATATTTAAAATTAATTTAGAACCTTCCTTAGTGCACAAGCTAAGTTTTAAATCAGTACTTAAGTCTACAAATTCAATATTCTCAAATTACAATTCAGGGCCTCCATCTTGCAACTTTCAATATTGAGCAATTATTGCTTGCCTTACACTTCTTGCAAAATGTACACTATATCGTCATACAGAAATGTTACATATTGAAGTGTATTACAGTATTTTCGTTATTTAATTTTGCTGTTAGAAAAGATCTGCATTAAATAACATAATACTGTTTATTTTACTGTTCACTATTTAATTGTAATAAATAACATAATAATAATTAAATAATCAAGAGCCAGCTCTTACCTTTCTCTTTGTCCAAAGGTGGAAGTATACTGTTGTCTCTGCAGACTTTGAAATATATTTCTTGCTCTATTCCCTCTGGAATGGCTCCTTGTGGTATAATAATACTAACTCCAGTCTCTATAGAGCTCAATACACCACCATTGCTGTTAAATACACCTCTTGCCGTGGCTACAACAGTGTGTCCATCTTCTTCCTCCTCATCCTCAAGGGCTGAAGGGCTGAATGCAAGACAGAAAGCCTAGCAGTTTTATCAGTATTTTCTTCCTGAAAGTCAATGGCATACTTGCCTCTAGCATTTTAGAGGAGCACAGCCTAGAGGAGACTAGCACTGATTTTTAGAATTAGAATTATAGTAATAATCTTTCAACTATAATATCAACAGAAATTGGAAGCACAGAAATTACAGAAGCAAATCTGCATTTCTCACAAGTTTCACAGATAAACTGCTATAGATGTGCTAGTGGGAAGAAAAAAGCAGCAGCTTACCTTACAGGAATGGCTTTAGGCACAGCATTGACATTATTTGGTTGATATTTAGGCTTGTCGACCTGTACAGCAAAGGTGTCCAATCCACTATCAAACTCAGGAGGCTGTGATGAGCTGTGTGCTTTCAAAATTGGTTGAGGAGAATTTGGAGATTTTGATGGCAACTCTGGTTTATGCTGAGCTTCATTTGGCAAGAGATTATGGTTGAATTTAGGACTTTCAAACTTGCGCTCAAAGGGTCTTGCAGCACTAGTGTAGGGTTTTGTTGTAAAGCGGTTGTAAGAAGGAGTGACTGTTTTCTGTATCTGCTCAGTTCCATTAATAGGGCCTTTGTCAGGGAAGCTTTTCTGAGGGTAAAACGTGGACTGCACAGTGTCCTCTCTAGAGGATCTGAAAACTGCTGGCTTATTCTGAGGCGGAGGAGGGTCAGACACAGAGTTAACTGCAATGCAAATAACAATACCGCAACTTGTCAGTGCCCATCAGGAATGTATGCATAGTCACATACACTATTTCATACGAATACATTTTAGTCAATTGTTAATCTATTTTACATAATATATACAGGTTCAGTTTAGCTCTCTTAGATCATTTATCTTCTTATTACATTTTGCATGTTCAGGCAAATTATCTGAAGTTTCATTAAATAGGTAAATTGGATACAATGGTATGACCCTTCAATAAAAAGGTTAGACTGATTTATACCATGACAAAAAAAAAAAAATTAAAACCCAAACAAAAACAAAACTGAAAACAAACAAAAAACCAAAAACCAGTACTGCGATGCTATCATGCACTCACACAAATGGGAAAATTCAGCTGAATGGGAAAATTCAGCTGGCCAATCCTCACAATGTGAGAACAAACCCAATTTTTTTCTTCTATTTTCAAATACCTACAATTATTACTCATGCCTAAAGAATTCTGGTCCAGTGTACCATAGAGATGTAGGTTCTCTAAGTAATAGAGATTTTACTTTATCTTTGCTGAGACCTCTACATATGGAAAAGATAGTTACAGAAACTGTTTAACACCTGAAAGTTAGTTTCAGATAGGATCACCAGTGATTTCACGATTATTTCACTCAATCTCACTATAATAAAAGCTATTTTCACTAATAATTATTCCACATTTCAGTTAAAGAACACCACAATTACCAATTCAGACATGCTGAAGCAACCACATAAGCATCTGACAAGTGTTACCACATGAGACAAGTTAGCTTTCCAACTGCTCACCTTCAGAAAGTGCAGGCTTATGATGTGCTGGGAGAGACAGGACAGGGCTATTAATTGACTGAGGTTGCGTATACTGGACTGCAGAAGCAGGAGGAGGAGTTGTAACTTGAGGGATTGGCTCATAGCGTTTTTCACCAACAGACCTTTCTGCTGCCTCACTATCAGTTGTTTTCCCCCTGTTGAAATAAAAAGACAACAACCCACAGTTGACTGTTTAGTTTCATCAGGAGTCTCAGCTCCTGCATCCACTGTAATTTCTTTTCTCTTCTATGATCACCTGATTTCCATCTCTTCCTATAAATATTAAAATAAGATATTCTTTATATCCTGTCCAAGTATAAAAACATTTACTGATAAGCACAAGAGATTAAGACAACACTGAATCTTTAGAAGAAGATTAGTAACACAAACCATGGCAAACAAAAGGCAGATGACATTTCAGGTGTATTTGATATGATTTCTTAAAAGATCTTAATTTTTCAATTTCATTTGGGGTAATTTAAACAAAAATGTGTTCTCTAATTTAGCAGATCTTCAAAACAAAAATGTAAACCCACTTTTTCTTTTTTTTTGGAGGGTTGAGGGGGGGTGGATTTTTATGAAAAGCGTAATTAGCCAATAAGACAATGGAGTCTAGTTCAACTTTCCTAAATACACCTAGTATTTGAACAATGCCATCTTAATTAGAGATGTAATCAGCTTAAGCTTCACTAGCTTTATGTGCATAGCGTAGATAACGATTAAATGTTATCTTCAAAACATTTCTTCTTATACTAGAAATATCTGTCCAGGTTTTTTTAGGTCAGGAAATTATAAATGCTGAAATACCTTTAATTTTGGACACAGATTGCACTTTCAAAATTTGCATGTTTGAAGTTTTAAGTGCACATAATGCCTGTGATGAAAAGTAACAGTGAAGAGGACACCTGAAAACATCCTCACATCAACAACAGTCTTACCACTTGATGCTCCTTTTCAAGTAGTCATAGCTAGTGTAAGAGCCAAGAAATCTAGGTGATGGCAAAGCAAACAGCAATAGAAGAATGAAAGAAAATAGTCATTCTATTTTGAGCATATTATTTCTCCATACTTCTTATGCTAGTCCTAGCAGCTTTCATATGACAAGGTTGTTGAAACAAAGTCACACTACTTTTAACGGTGATGTTTCTGATATCTTTACCATATACATATATACAATGAACACCTACTGAATTTGAGATTTTTTCAGTGAATTAGGAAATGGTCAAGATCTCAAATGAACAGATATTGAAAAAGAACAAACAAGATTACACTAAGCCATTTGTTACAATCTGTATCAAAGTTATTCAATATATTGAGAAAAGTGAGCAAAATCTAAGTCCCATATTCTAACAATCTCTCATGGTCCAATCTCATTTTATCAGTTTTAACATACACAGAATGATTATAGTTTTGTACTGCAGATCATGTACTGTGGATACATTTATAGCAAATGTTTCTGTAGCATTATGAGTTCATCCAATAGCAGAGCCTACAACATAGAAATGCTTCTGTGTTCAGCAATTCCTAGAGGACATCCTAGAAGAACTGTTTATGAATACTAGAAGAGACACAAAACTGCAAGTATACTGATCACTTTCCCCTGATTTTTAACAGTTACCTTGCTTACATGTTGCAAGAAAATACATTTTACATTAGGACTGCTTTTCCTCATTGCTTCACTTTCTGTACACTATTAAAAGTGTAACAGGCAATTTTAGACACCAACAGGCTTACAGTTCAGAGGAGTATGTTACGCAATGAAGAAAAGGGATGATCAACTTTAGAAAGTCTGCTTGATGACCATATGAATGTCATGCTCAATGAGCTAAACAGCATCCATATGAACAGCTCTACAGTCAGTGTTACAAAAAAAAAAAAGACCATTTTAGATCTGCTGTTTAAGCTTCTGTTCCCACTGATTTATATAAAGCCATTCACCCAACAAAAGATATTATTGTATGCTTACTCACTAGTGCCTTTAATTCCAGGCAGGTAGTAGCTGCCTTCTCAGAAAACTACCAACCCTGAATTCACTACTTCCCAGAGGGGAATATTAAAAAGGGCAGCACAGCACTGCAGAAGACCACAGGAAAAAAAAAAACAAATCAACACACTCCACACCTCATCAGAATTGTCTGCCAGCTTTCTGAGAAATATGGAAGGTAGTTCATTTTAATGGAGGGAGCAGAAGAAAGCTGTGACAACACACCAGCACCAAGGTGTGCTTAATATAGAATTACAGAATCATAGAATAGTTAGGGTTGGAAAGGACCTCAAGATCATCTAGTTCCAACCCACCTGCCATGGGACACCTCCCACTAAACCATGTCACCCAAGGCCTCGTCCAACCTGGCCTTGAACACCACCAGGGATGGAGCACTCATAACCTCCCTGGGCAACCCATTCCAATGCCTCACCACCCTAAAAGGAAAGAATTTCTTCTTTATATCCAATCTAAACTTCCCCTGTTTAAGTTTTAACCCATTACCCCTTGTCCTGTCACTACAGTCCCTAATGAAGAGTTCCTCTCCAACATCCTTGTAGGCCCCCTTCAGATACTGGAAGGCTGCTATGAAGTCTCCACGCAGCCTTCTCTTCTCCAGGCTGAGCAGCCCCAGCTTTCTCAGCCTGTCTTCATATGGGAGGTGCTCCAGACCCCTGATCATCCTCGTGGCCCTTCTCTGGACTTGTTCCAACAGTTCCATGTCCTTTTTATGTTGAGGACACCAGAACTGCACACCATACTCCAGGTGAGGTCTCATAAGAGCAGAGTAGAGGGGCAGGATCACCTCCTTTGACCTGCTGGTCACGCTCCTTTTGATGTAGCCCAGGATACAGTTGGCTTTCTGGGCTGCGAGCACACACTGCCAGCTCATGTTCATCTTCTCATCGACCAACACTCTCAAATTCTTCTCCGCAGGGCTGCTCTGAATCTCTTCTCTACCCAACCTATAGTTGTGCCTGGGATTGCTCCGACCCAGGTGTAGGACCTTACACTTGGCAAGGTTAAACTTCATAAGGTTGGCATCAGCCCACCTTACAGCACATTCTTCTGTTGTAAACTCCTAACTAAGGGTCAGCCACAATCTCAACCACATAGTCCAGAATCTGTATGCAGTGAAAGTAGCCCACAACAAAATGATTGCTTACAACTTCTAAGTGTGTAAGTGAAGTTCCTACAATTATTGATGTGCTGTCTTCTAAGCTGTTTTCCACTTCATTTTCTTTTTCATTTAAAAAAAACATTACTTTACTTTGAAATGAAACTGAAAGGAACCAGTGAGCAGCAGGTTATAAGCTTCAGTGCACAACACCACTTATCAAACTGCACTGCTGACCTTCAGTTCCCATTCAAAAACTCTAGCTCTATGACAGGCATTTAAAGAGTTCAGCTAAAGCAGTTTAAAAGGTTAATATAGGATGCTGTTCCTTCCTGCCCCCTCAGATAGGGCCATAACTGATTATGTGAGTACTCTTAACCCTACTCAACACAAAACTTAGATAAGCTACCTCATTTTGCAGCATGTCAAGCTACTGCATTTATCTACATTGAACCAAGCACGGACAAATCCACTACCTTCAACCACAGCGGTAGTAGTCTCATAAATTGCTCCAACTACATCCACTGAAACATCCATTTACAAGTACTACTATTTTCTCACATCAAGACAAACTATCCCTTATTCCACAGTTACTGGCAACTCTAGCATGCATGTATGGCATTGCCCATACAAAGCAGCTTTACTAATGCATGATTTCCTAAATGATGCTAATAAAACCTTAACAAATTAAGAGTAAAAAAATTTGTACATATGTAATGGGAAAAATACATACTTTCACACTACTTAGTGACAAAGAACTTTGCATAATTTAATGTTTAACATTAATTTGTAAAACTGAAAAAGCTGTGGCTATTTGCTCATGAATAAATAAAATTGGTCCTCTGTACCCTGAATACATTACACAGATTATGCAGGAACTAGCAACTGCATCATCAACAGTTCCTGTATCACCCAAATTTAGTCCTATTTATTTTTAGAAGAGTTTATTCCCAGAACAGCCATTACCATATAAATTGACTGGAAAAATAAATGAATAACAAACAAGTAACAGGGTATAAACTGGAAGCTGGCAAAAGGAGAGTACTAAATATGAATGCTTTCTCAATACAGCAATTGTTCTGTGTTTCCACACATGGACACTGGAGTAGGCTTCTAGAGACAGTACTGTCCAATTGAGTAGTGTTCTTGTTTATCTCTTTCCACTTTCTTCCATTAATATTTTGTTCTTTATCTATTCCTACTGGGTAAATTTTCTTTCCCACATCTGTCCCTTCCTGCTACGGGTTACATTCTTTCATAAAGAAAAAACAACACATTTTTGTCCCCTGACATTTGAAACTATTAGCCTTAAAACCAGTGGCACCAAGACGTCACCTTCCCATAAATACAAGCCCTGAAGTTACACAGTAAGTCATAAAGAAAATGGAAGAACTAAGCAGCCAAAGAATGGAAGTGTCATGGCAGACAGAAGCAGCAGGTAAAACTATAGAACAACATCCCTCAACTATTAGCTTTCTGCAGCAAAAATCAGTAGTTGGGTACGTCTCTCACATTTTTCCCCTGTGTCACAACACTACAGAGGATAACAGGAGTACAACAAAAGCTTACAACACTGCATCTGAAGAATTTTACAATCTTCACAATTACTTGATAAAAGCTTACAACATAGCTCCCAAAGCATTACTAGCATTTACAATAACAACACAATTCATGCCTACAGAACAAAACAGACAATCTATGGGTAAGATTGTTTTTTGTATGTGGAAACATAATTCTGAAAGCTACTGTGATGCACTGAGGCCTGGTAAGACCTTTTTTAGGTGTCTTCCTATAATGCACAGAGAGTAGGAAATACATGCTCCCATCTTTCCATCAGAAGACACCGGGCAAGTGAAGAGGAAAGATGAAAAACATCCTTGAATGAGAATCAGAACTGGTTATACAGTACTATACACATTCCTTCCCTGACGTCTAAAAAAAGTAAAATAAGAAATAATTAACATATGTAGATTTTTTGATCAGAAGAGTTAATCACTTAAAACTGATCAAGCTTTTGGAAAAATTGCAATAGTCTCAGTCCACAAAGACAGACACTGGAGATGACAGATGATATAATACAAATAAAGAACAAGATTTCAGAGACCTAGGTCAAATCCTTTAAGACTGGAACACAGCTTATCAAGTACATGAAAGACATGTACATACATATAACTCTGTGAAAATTAAGCGAGCTAGTTTGTTGTTTTCCTCTAAAGTTGTCATTTACATTAAGGTTGTGTCATGGTTTACTGCCAGCTGGCAACTCAGAGCCATACAGCTGCTCGCTCACTCCATCCTTCCCCCCCCCCCCCGCTGCAGCTCCCAGAGGGATGGGGTGAAGAATCAAGAGAATGTAAATCGCATGGGTTGAGATAAGAACAGTTCAGTAACTAAGGTAACAGTACAATACTACCACTAATAATAAGGGAAATAACAAGGGGAGAGAATATAAAACTAAAATGGGAAACGGAAAAGAAAATAGCAAACACATGTGATGCACAATACAATCGCTCACCACCCACTAATCAATATCCAGCCCAACCTGGGCAGTGATCTGGGCCTTCCAGCTACCTCCCCCCAGGTTATACACTAGGCATGACGTGCTGCAGTATGGAATACCCCTCTGGCTAGTTTGGGTCAGGTGTCCTGTCTCTGCTTCCTCCTGGCTTTCCTTATCCCTCTTCACTGGCAGAGCGTAAGACTGAAAAGTTCTTGATTGAGGTAAGCATTACTTAACAACAACCAAAAACATCGGTGTGTTATCAGCGTTTCTCTCAGACTAGTCAAAAACAGAGCACTGCACCAGCTACTAAGAAGGAGAAAAACAACTTACAAGTGAACCCAGGACAGGTTGCCAGATTTTCAGCTGGGTAGCCCAGATTTCAAGCAGGAATACAACTAAAGCCTTCAAAAAATGCCCCATTTTCAGCCCGCATGCAGCAAGCCACAACAGATTTTCACAGTAACAGTTACAAACACATTGTTATAGTTTGAAGCAAAACAAATTAGGTAACTGGAGAGTATTCACAAAGTTTGTATAACTATCTTTCAAGATGGCCAGTTCTTTACCTGAGCTAAATCTGTGTATGAACTCTTACACAATTTCTGTATCAAAATGTTCCAAATAAAGGAAGCAGAACAACACAGGAAACAGATGTTTCCATCAACAGATTAAATTCTTGCCTCAGCAATATTCCCTGAAGGCTTAGTTTCCTAATGTCAAATACTGCTAATATGTACAGACCTGTCTGCAGAGTAAGCGCATGCAGAATAGGAATAAACCAAAACCTTGGCTTTGAAGATATTTAAGCACTCACTATTATTAGCTAGACTGAATACTTCGTGATATTCTGTTTATCACTATAAACAGAACATAATAATTGATCTGGATGAGGCGATCAAGTGCATCCTCGCTAAGTTTGCACATGACACCAAGTTAAGCAGAACTGTTGATCTGCAGAGAAAATCTAGAAAGGTTTGATCAATGGGCTATAGCAAACTGTGCTTCTCAAAAAGGCAAAGAGCTGGGTCCTGCACCTGGGCCACAACAACCCTACACAATGCTACAAGCCTGGGGAAGAGCAGCTAGAAAGCTGGTTGGTGGAAAAGGACTTGTGGGTGTTGGTTGACAAGACAGCTGAGTAGAAGCCAGCTCTTGCCCAGTTGACCAAGGCTGCCAACAGCATCCTGGTTGTGTAAGAAAGAGTGGGCCCAGCAAGACCAGGAAAATGATCATCCTCCTGTACTATGCACTGGTGAGGCTGCAGTTCAAATCCTGTACTCAGTTTTGGGCCGCTCACTACAAGGTGCTGGAGTGTATTCAGAGAAGGGCAAAGCTGGTGAACTGTCTGAAGCACAAGTCCCATGAGGAGTGCCTGACAGAACTGGGGTTGCTTAGTCTGGAGAAAAGGAGCCTCAGGGGAGATGTTATTGCTCTCTACAACTACCTTAAAAGAGCTTGCAGTGATGTGGGTGTCAGCCTCTTGTCCCAGGAAACAAGCGGTAAAACAACAGTAAAAGGCCTCAAGTTGCACCAGGGGAGGTTTAGATCAGGCATTAGAAAATACTCCACTGAAAGGGTTATCAAGCACTTCCCTAGCACAGGCTTGCCTAGGGAAGGGTTGGAGACACAATCCCTGGAGGTATTTGAAAGACGTACTTAGGACATGGTTTAGTGGTGGACTTGGCAGTGCTGGGTTAATAGTCAGACTCAATGTTAAAGCTATTTTCCAACCTAAACAATTCTAGAATTTTAGGTTAGTAAGTGGTAAGAAAAAAAGTAACATGTTGAAGGTCCTGAAACATATAAAAATTATTCATTTACCAAAATGAAGAGTTATGCAGTTACATGTTTTCAATCTAAAGCTACATCTATACATCTATACAGAGAAACAGATTTAGTGAATAAGAAATCAGATACCTGAACCCCTGGAATTCCACTGACAGAGGCAGAACTTGTGGTTTAGTCCTATATGCCTCGCTCCTTTTTCAAAAGGAAAAAAAAAAAAAAAAATCTCCCAAACTTACTTAGAATAACTGGTGAAATTCAGCTGATTTTGTGAATGTATTGGTTTAGCAGGCTCAGAATGATGGCTGGCAGGAACCTGCGCAGATGGCTTATTTTCAAAACTCCTACGATCAAAGTACGAGAGCTGCTTTCGGTAATATTCTTCATCTTCTTCAGGATCATAATGATTTGAACGCACGATATCTTCAGGTGGCTTCACTTGAGGTCTCTGTGGTTCTGGAGCCCTAACCAAGAATAATACACAGTTGCCTTACACAGTCAACGAGCATAAATACCTGAATTGGAATTCTACTTTTATAACCTGGTTAGTAATAAGGCAACCAACATTTAATTCTTACAATTACATAGCTTGACTTTTTAACCTATACCACATGGAAATTAAGATAGTTGAGACAGCATGAAGAAAAAAAAATCCTTATTTCCCTTTTACCTTACCTACTCCATTTACTTTTACTTTCTAATTATCTCAAAATTAAAAAAAAATTAAATTTTTTTTTGAGATAGACCCTCCTCAAAAATGCTGGAAAGACACACTACATCCTTCCCCTACTTCCCAGAAATCATATGCATGAGAACTGACTTTATGCCCTGCCTTACTATACACCGAAGTCATAATGACACATTCCAACTCCCCACTCGAGTTCCCAATTTGAATCCCTGAAGTAAGTTTTCTGAATACTCTGATCTCATGTCAGGAACTAAATTTAATTAATCAATTGGGCATCTACCTGTAAGTTGTTTTGTCGTGTTCATAATGGCTTTGAGAAGTTGATTTTGGACCACTTGCAGTTGTGAGTGTAGGCTTAGGTGCTAGCTCAGGAGGCTGTAAAGAAAAGCACAGCATATTCTCTCAGATTCTAACATTTAGAAAAATACAGCACTTTAAGAATAAGAAAACTAAGACTGCCTCCTCTCACCCAAAATGAAAAACAGAATGAAATACTAGTGAAAGATGAACTGGAGTTGTTTACAGCATGGCAAGATCCCCTTCACTGTTCTCACAATGTTTTCAACTTCTGCTTTTAAAACGTACTGCAGTTAGGTTGCCAAGAGGCTATTCCATAAGCAGTAAAGCTTTCTTTCCAAGACAGTATTTTACTTCTTGCAATCTAGTCTCATTAACAAGAAGCAGGCAATTTAGGAAAAAAAAGGCCAACCAACCAACCAATAAAAAACGCTCACAAATATCAAATGATTTACCTTGACAGCTGATGTATCACTTGGGTCCTTCATTTTTTCCAAAGATGGTGATCTTCTTCTTTCAAATATCTTAACCCGACTTCGCACAGACTGTGGTTTCATGGCTGGGTCATCCTCTTCCTCTGCTAGAGATGGTGGTGTAGGCAGTGGTTTACTGTTAGAAGGCAAAACTTCTGGTTTTGTTTGTGATGAAGGGGGAGGAGGAAGAGAAACACCTGAAGTGCTATGAGAAGGCTCATACTGTCCAGCTTTAGCACTATAGGCTTGAGGAGGACCTTGTTCATAGGCCCTTACATGGGGATCGAAGTACTGCTTCGGTTCGGGAGATCGAGAAATGGCTGACTGGTATGGCTGAGCTTCTTGTTTGTATCTACCATGTGTATCATATCCAACAGTATGTTGATCTTCATATCTCATTTGTGGTAAGCTAAAGTTTTTGGGTGCATGCTCATAGCGAGGTCTGCCATCATAGCTCATTGTAGGGGGTTCCTCAAAACGAGGTTGTGCTGGATAATAGCTGCGTTCTGTGCTCTCATCTATATTTTGTCTGGAATCAAGATCCCTAGGAGGCTGGTTTTCGTAAGCTGTTCTTGTTTGGTTGTAGGGTGGTTTTTCATCGTAATATGCCCAGTGCTCCTCATAGGGAGGCACACGCTCATCATAATGTAGGCGAGGGTCATAACCACGAGGAAATTGATCTACATAGTTTGCAGAATCATATCTGTATGTTGACTGTTCATAGTCCCTGCTTGGTTGTTTTTCTGCATACTGAGCCTGGGATTCATAGATCAGATTTGGGTCTCTTTCCTGTCTCTGTACTGGGTGACTAATTGCTGGCTGTTTCAAGACATAGCTTTGTCTGGATGCTTCTTCATTAACATATGGATCCTTTCGGTATATCTGTTGAAGAGAGGCACAGTTCTCAGTTAAAATGCAGAGTAACTGCATCTGCATTTGAAATGCAGTATTTTAAGCAAATCTAAGTTCTAAATATTGGTGCCGATTTTGTTTAAAAGCAGAATAATTTGATGCAGGGTTTTCTTTGCAATTACAGGTGATTCAAGAGATGCCTTCCAGCCCTATTTTTAAGCAAAACCAATTAAGTAGATTAAAAGGGAAAGACAAAGTTAACAGTCTCTCACCTTTGGGGTTTGGTGTTGGGGGTGAGGGAGGGCAGGGGCGACAGAGACCACACACACTTTTTTGCAGGGCATGAGAAGAGCAGAAGCAAATTGACTTACATATTTAAGTTAGTTCTAGCACTGCTAAGGAAGAATACAGTCACTCAACAAACTGGATTCACCTTCATGGTCAAGGATTTGGCACGATTTAAAGTATACAAGACCTAGTGTCTTTTTAGGGATCTAACAGATTTTTCCCAAGGCCTCATTAATAAGCAGAGGAACACTGACAAGCTAAAAAGTCACACAAAGTAAAATCAAAATACAGAATGCAGCCTTTTTTAACAACGTATTATCTTTTTGAGAAGTGAAAGGTATATAGTTTGAAGCCATGCACACAAAACATTAGATGATGCTTAGCAATTCAGATGCACTGTTTTTTGTAACCTGCATGATCTCTTATAGCAAAAAAATTAGATGGAATTCTCCAAATAAGGGCAAAACAAAAAGATCATGTGCTAGCTTGATGTATAGCAGGAAATCAGCGCAACAATGTGGCACAGGTACCTTTGCTGGATCTATATGCGGCGATAAGGATGATGACTCTTGTTCTCTTAGGACTATATGAGCTCCCTCAGTACTTGATGCTCTTAAGGGGCCCGCCTGTGGTTGGTAAGAGTTGTAAGGAGCAGCAGTAGGCTCCTCCAGTCTGACATTACTTAGGTTTACATTAGCATTTACTGCGGAGGCTGATGAGGTTGCAGGGTTTGATTCAGGCGACGGGGAAAGGTAAGGGACTGCAGGTGAGGCTTCTGCTTTCTGTGAAGTGTTTAAAATATTTTAAATATACCACTATTGAATCACTGTATGACTTTTTGATTTATATTAATATAATTTAAATGATGCTTTGACCAATGCAGCTAGATGTAGAATGAAATGTACTGAATGCATCATGCACTAGCACTTCCAGAAATTATGCTGAACATTAAAGCAAAACATTTAAAGTAGAATGGTACTTCAATCCCCCTGCTGTCAGAATGAGCCACTGAAACAGATAGGGCAAGCCGATTCTCTAACTCACTGATGTTGTCGTTGACAGATTCTTGTATGCACGCACAATACTGGTAAGCAGACCATAAATACAGATTTCTTGTTCAAGACAACTCAGAACCTGAAGTTAATGCACAGTGTCAGTGTACAGAATTACTTTCTTACCGGCTGAGTAGTTGTTTTAAATCCTGAAGAATCAACTCTGAGATTTGGCTGCGGCTGAGCTTGAGATGCATAAGTAGGGTAAGTTTGAGTATCATGATGCATTCCAGAAGAATCCTCTCTAACAGGTTCAGAAGAACGTGTAATAGCAGATTCAGGAGGTGTCCCAACCTCGTCATTCAGAGTTTCATCCAGTTCTTGATCAGTATAAGCACCTCCTTCTGTATCTGTGTCTTCATAATCAGATGTGTGTCTACTGTCTGTGCTATACATAGAATATTCACTACCAGGAGCTGAGAGGTAAGAAAGGCGGTCATCGTGTAAATCAAGGTCCTCACTTGTAGCACCATCTGCCTGTGTCAAACAAAATTAGAGTACATGCTTTTTGAAATACCTTTTCAAGAGTGCCCTTTTTCTTGCATTGTAAAGCTAGGATTTTTTTGAGTGTGTGTGAATAATTAAACCTGAACAAATGGAAGGCATCTATTCTGTTCTGAACCACAACAGAAGGTCTGGTAGTTAAAGAAGTTAGTTATATTCCAAATCCAGCAGCATAGCAAGAATATGAGATTTCAACAACTCAGAGTATCACAAAGGAGGAGAAATCAGGTTTTTAATCATTGAAGATGTTAGCCTTACACTTAAAAGCCTTTTCTGCAGTCTAGCTCTTTTAATCATTTCACTAAAGGGTCAGATGACTGTCAGTGTAAGAAACAGGACAGTGTATAGTGTTCATATAAATCAGTGTTTCAAAAGATACAAAGCTACACTTCAAAGTGATATTATGATACTGGAATCATTAACTTCAGGTTAAAATATATATATGAGGGAAAAAAGACCTAATAAAGATATATCTAATTAAGAATTATGTAGCAATAGCTGATCAATCATTTGCTTACTTACAGTTGGCACTTTGCTTGATATTAGTTCAAGAGGATGGATCTAATGTGCATAGAGTCAACATGCAGCTTGAGAAGGCAAGTGGAGTTTTAGTGGTGAACACAGAATACCAACTTCTGATTTTTTTAACTGTGTTCTCACAACTAAGAGAACACTGGTCCCAAAAAGGTCACAAAGAACATGAATATGCCACCTGCTTTTTTATTAGTAAAAAATTCATCATCAGGCAATCCCAGCCAATAGCAAAACACCCAGAAGTTTTAATGAAAAAGCACCCAATCCTGACAAAATCTTCAAAGCAAGAGCATATCCTCCAGTTAACTGGAGCATAACCTCCAGAGGTCAAAAGCTCTCACTGACTACACTCTCCCTCACAAGGACAACTGTACAGCCCTCATGAACAGAACAACTGACCTCATGTAGTGACAAATCAGTGATGAGCAGTTTACAGTCATGAGGCATTACTGCTTTAGATCTTCAAAGGATGGTTAAAGTGAGTAATTAAAAAGAAAAGCAAACGTAATTCCACAAGTATCTGCCCACATCTGTAATACCAGATACAACGAAAGAACAAATAACTTCTCATAAATAGTTTTGTCATTTCTCCCAAAAAATTATTTCTTACCTTTCCTTCTGAAACCCACACTAGTTGGTTCTGTTGTTGCTGAATTGCTTCTTTCAGAGCTCCATACCATCCTTCATTCATTGAATTCAAGTTAATGGTAGCTAGAAGTACAGGAGGTTAGTTTGACTTATGATTTCTGCAACTACAAGAAGGATTTGTACCTCCAGTAATAAAAGCAATATAAACTGGTAAGTTAAAGCTATGAGATTTAAATAGTACTACAAACATTAGCATTCAAAGCACAGTTAAAAGCCTGATATAGTTTGGGACATTTTTTTCCAAATGGGAAATACTGAGTTAACAGTAATTTGGAATAAAGCAATACTTGAGTTTAGCCATCATCTTCCTATTTATGGACGTTTGATTTTGGCTGACGAACCGGCAAAGCCACCAGATCTATTATTAGAAACATCATTTTGACATTTCATATTACATTTATGCAGTTACGTGCAAACAATGCACACATCAATGAGCTGTCGGTTACTGAACACCTCCCCCTCTCTCTCAGATATACTAAAATTAGTATATGTAATTACTTACTTGTGAAGAGATGGTGATTGTTTTTGCGTAGCTTGTGAGCTCTTTCATACAGCTTTCTGGCACTTTTCCGTGATTCTGGGCACAACCTCATTCTCATAGTCTTTACACCTTGCTTAGAATCAGGATTTAGGAACACTACAATAGGATACCACTGGGCATAATTCAGACGGTCCACTGCATTAGGAGTGACATCTAATAAAGCATGTTTGTCCTGTTGTGGTAAAAAGGACAGAAGCACAGAAGTGAATCACTTAAGATTTTATTTTTTTTCCCCTTTAACATCCTCCAGAAATCTACTTGCTGTTACTTTTACAGAGTTCATTGTCTCAAAAAGTATTGATTCAAATTCTTTTCCTATTTGAATACTGGAAACCAAACGAATTCAAATATCAGGCTACACAGACATATACATTTTGAACATGAGAAAATTATTTTTAAACACACTCATTACTTAGTCTTCTAAATTTGAAACACCCAACACCTTACTTGATGATACCTGTTTTACCCTTTTTTGTTTTAAAAGTATAGTGACAGTAAAAGACTTACCCTATCAATTATCTGTTTTATAGTGTGAAGACGAATAATGCCAGAACTACGTTGGTCAGTACCAGCATCTCTTGGTTCACTTTCTGGTAAAAAGGACACAGTAAAAAATCTGTTGCAAGTTTACAAAATATTCTACATTGACTCATTAAGATAAAACCACTCCATAGCTCAAACTGTTAATTCTGATTGAAGACATTCCCCCTCCCTCAAAATAATACATTAAAATCAGCCCACTGATTTGACCACGAAAAATCACTGTATCTTTACATACGCACTTAGAAACAGGGTAAAGCACCAAATTAAAATTAAATTTGAGAAGGCTATAAATAGAACTAATATTACTTTTACCCTCAGAGAATTCTAAGTAACCAGTGAAAGAGCTTATGTTTTGTCTGTTCCTTTACACTATCAACATCTTGTTAAATATGGTAACAGCTAAAGTAATGTAGAAACTGTCTAGCTAAAAGGAAGTTGACCATTTCGTAACTACACAAAACATTATTCCACACTTACTTGCAATTTGAAAGATATCTGGTTCTTCTCTAGCAAGTTTCTCACGTGCCACATCAGCTATTGGACCGAAAATGGTTACAGGTCTGAGAAACCCAGCTAGAATTGAAAGCAAAAAGTCAAAATGCATTGATTGCTTAAAACAAATGCAAGACACTCTTCTATATGTAGGCTATGACAAAGCAAATCAGACAGATCTGTTATTCTGCAACAGCAAGAATAAAGCCATACCTTCCCGAAGAACAACTCTCTCATAGGCAGGAAACTTTGTCTGAACAGGTTGTGCAGAAAGATCTTCTCTGCTTTTTCGTAGATTTCTTTTTGAACTACGTAAACCTCGGAATCTCCAAAAATCCGCTCGATCTCCTCCTGCTGTCTTTGGAAGTGTGTACTGTACACTAGCTAGCTGCTCAGCTCTAAGACAACAACAAATCCCAACCAGTTATCACAGAAGTCAGCTTCTGAAGTAATGCTTGACTAGCAAGCTTATACTTCCAAAACCCACTACCACCTGCTGAATCAAGCTTTTGTTGTTTCTGTATTAGACAGAACTAGATTGAACTACAGAGGCTGATATCACATTTCTAAAGCATTACATAGCCTTGTCTCTTGCATTGAAGAGAAAGCTTTTAGCGTTTTTGTGGACTGTACAAGACTTAAAAGCAAATACATAGGTTAGATATTTAACTGCAACTTGTTTTAACACTGTCACTTTTTCTGACTAAACCAGTTCTATAAACCTCTGTCCTGCAGCCAAGTGCAATCATTCATTCTACAGATGCAGAATTTAAAATCATAACTTTAAACCAGCAATTTAGGTATTTTAATATCGTACCTGTTTTTGTTAGGTATGATACCTCTTTCGACTTCCTTATGATTCTTGCCAATTCGAATTGCCAGCCATGAACCCAGTTTGCCATTGTACAGAGTGTCCACCACGCGGAACACTTCACCTTTGTTGAAACTTAGTCCATAAGGAGATTCCTTTTCATATTCAAAATGAGTTCTAATATAGAAAGAATCCCCTACATCAGACTCAACAATGCGACGATAGACTGAAAAAAGGAAAAAGAAAACCAAAAGTAGAATGTGTTATGTAAACTCAAGTGATGTCCTAATGCTCACAAGAGCAACAGTGCTTCACCTTCTGCTTGTTTTCAATATACAGTAATACTTCAAGAAGCTGTAATGTCTCAAAGCTGCTCCATTTTAAACAGTGTAACTATTAATACCAACTTAATCTACCAATATAAACTCAGCTTTCAAGGCAAGAAATTCTCTGCCAGTGCAAGTTCAATTCCGTTCACCTGGAAGGAATTAATCTTACTGGGAAAGAAGTTTGTGTGCGCAACACAGTGTCATCATTCATTTTCAATGTGTCCTGGGTTCAGCTGTAACAGTTACAGCTGAACACAGGATACAATGGTAGGACTCCAACAGACTTTCCTGCTGCCCCCCAGGTTTCACACCATACTTCTATCAGATGCCAGGAGTTACTTTCAGTGGGGTTTTTGTGGGGTTATTTTGGTAGGGGGTTTTGTTTGTTCCTTTGGGCTGGGGAGGAGGGGAGGCAACTGTTACAATTTCAATCTCTAGTCCACTTGTAGTAATAACCTATCCCAAAGCCAAATAAAACCCAAAACTTGACAATCTTCATAAGGCAACAACTTCTTGGAAGCCAGAAGTTAGTCATCATTCACTATACTTCTTATGTTGCTCCTAGCAATCTACTACATTGCTCCCAATATACAAATATTTACCATCTTTTTTCTTCTGTGCTAAAATGGTCACTTCTTCACCTTTAGGAAGATCAAGCAAAAAAAGGACAGCTTCTTCTCTGATGATATTTGTGAAGTCTACGTTATTTACCTGGTATCAATGAAATAATTGGTTTGATTTAGCATATGGCATTACTGTAACAGATTTAACCATACAACAGGAAACCTGTATCAGCTTATTGCTATGATTTTTTTTTCTGAATTCAGTTTCATACATGCACCATGCACGTCTATCTCAAGGTCTCCTGTATCTCCGAGTAGTGCGCCACGTTATTTCTCGATAAACCATTGCTTCCAGAATAACAGGTAGCTGTTCATTAGCTGTTCCTTAGATAAATATTACAGAACATTTAAAACCACCAGTAAGAGTCCTCACAATTTAGTGACTGAACAGTTATCAAACAACTTTATCAACTGAATCAAATCTCAGAAATTGGATGTAAAACTTAATAGCCTTCCTAACAACAGTATAGTAACAAGTTTTTGCTGCTATTAATTCATGGAGTAAGTGCATACAGAAAAACCCCTCTAAGAACTACAAAGTTAATATATTCAATGCTACAGAAAGGAAACCTACTTTGGTACAGGAAAACATTTGTACTGTTATTGGTTTTGACATACCCTGAGAATCTGGTCCCCTTCCTCTAATCCTTCTTTTGCTGCAGGGCTGTCTTCCAGAACACCAGCTACAAATATGCCAACATCATTGCCACCTGCTAGTCGCAAGCCCACACTATCTCCTTTTCTGAATTTTACCAGTTTCATGCTTGGCCTAGAGATTTAGAAAATATTTCATTTAGAGATGTAATAGCATAAAACATGCTGGTAAATTTGAGACTGAGCATATGCAAAGAACTAATTTGCTTAACATTTAAATCAGAGAATGTTTTGCTATCCATATCATTAACTGCTTATCAACTGCAGCATTACAATACACTCATTAGCACTTCAAAAAACCCACCTGTATTTACATGTTTACTGGGGGTGGTTTGTCTAACAGTGATTTAACTGAGACACTTGGATACTCTTCCATAAATGCTCCTCCTTGTAAACAACTGTCCTGACATATACATTTATTTTGGCTCTAAAGACATTTAGATAAATTTGAGACAAAACCAAACTAGAATCTATTCCCATGTACACTAATGCCAATAAAGGAGATCCCAGTTGAAGCAGACTCACTTCCATGTCGCAACCTCACACATTTCTGTAGTGATCTTCAGTCACTGCCCTCCGATTATTTTATAAAAGGAAAAGAATGTGCTACAGTGTCTCTCCTCTCTCTGGAGATGGGGACAGGGCAGGAGGGGCAGGGTGCCCAGAAAGAGAAAAACACTGCAGATCCTTTTCACTAGTTGATCATTCTAACTGCTCATTTCCATAGAGAATTACTAGACTTTAAAATGGTATATTAAACAATATAAGCGCCAGCAAGATGCAGGAATAAACCTTAAGTCTATATCCTGATATTTCTGAACAGAAGTATCAGCACAGCATATTGGATTTGACATTAGATCATTTACACAGGTTATTCATCACTTTAGATAAAAGCTTGGTTTGCTCTAGAACCAGGCATATTTGAATAGAATTCAGAGTTACATTACCGAAGCATTCCATCTTCATGGGTTGAATTGGGCAAAGGGCCATCAGACGGACTGACTGGTAAATCGACATCTGGCTGACCTCCTTGTGCATACACTGGCTTTGGTTCTATTAAAATACCAAAAGACTTCAAATATCCATTTGGTCATTTAAAGATGAGTAAGTAAAGCTTACCTTTATAAAAATCTAATTACTTTCTCAGTAACCCACCTCTAGCCTACTTCAACACACTTGGCAGTGTAATAGAACAACAGTGTAATAGAACAACAGAAGACACTCTCACTGTGCCATTCAAAGCAGCATGATTACTGGCCTAAGTATTACTTCAGTAAAAATCCCCAAACTTCCTTTGTACTTCATTAAGTACTCCGAACACTGCAGAACTACGAGAACTAGAAGGCTGTGTGATCCCAAGACCACTTTCAACCCTCCCGTCTCTCACCTTGATTTAACTGATATAACTTTTACATTTTCCACGGGCTCTCTTCCATCAGGAATTCAATTCCTGAAATGAAAATACTACATTGGACCTACTGCTGCATGCCTTGAGGCTGGCAGATTTTGATGCTTACTTTGGTCCAGTTGGCAGTTCTTAAAGGTAAGCCCATACTATGGCTTTGCTGCATAGATTCCCTCAAGTCACTAAGAGGAAACTGCCACTGCTATCTTCCCTTAGTAATGAACATTAACAGGGGCTCTTCTCTGCTACTTGGTTGCTTACTTTAAAAGAAATTCTATTTAAGGCTTATCTCTGCACATTTGAAAAAAGTTGATTTCAAATGAGGCTGGCTTCAAACAACAACTCTGTATTCTTTTCAAATTACTAAATGGACTAATTTGAAATTGGTAATTTCAGCCTCTGATGAATCCCTCTGAACAAATACTTTCCTTTCACCCTCCTTGGACACAAACAACCACGAGTTTTCTTGCTCTCAGTCTAAGCAGCAAGCTGCCACAGAATCTACCAACTACTTTTCTAACAACGTTTTTATTACAGTCTTTGAAACATCCTAATATCCCTAGCACTTTCTGTAAAGCTGTTAAAGGATTATATCCTTTATTGCACCTTTTTTTCTCAGACTATGAATTATAGCAAGTTCATTTTATCTGCAGACACAAATTTAAATATTGTCTTTATGTATTGGCCTACATCTCCTCCCATCCAAACTAAGTATTTCCACATGCATCTTCTCATTCACTTAGTAACGAGTAATTAATTCTTCCCCACTAACCGACAAAATCCTCACAGTACTTATTACTTGCTTGCCAGTCCTTCAAACTAATCATTAGTACATTATTTTGGATTAAGAACCATCTCAAGCATCTCCTGGCTGGCTTTGAATTATGCCAGTTATTAATCTTTAATATTTTCTAAAAAGACAGAATTCATGCAATCTCACTACCACATCTTTTTTCTATCTTGGCAAATATAAACTTACTTCATGTGCATGTTGTTCCTTTAGGTCACCCTCCGTGACTTTTTTTAAATAATCTCTCCTGCATTAGGAAGTCTACTGTTCTCATTTTCAGGAAATTTCAGTCTGTCAACACCGTAACTCCTCCAATTCTTCACTGAGCTACTCAATACTATACACAGGAGTATAACCCCTCATTCCCTAAGACTGCACATATTTTCAAGTTTGCATGTGCTTTTTCCTCATTTGGCCCAGCCTTTCAAGAGCCACCTCTAAACCACCTGCACAGCTCCTCTTCACTGAAAGTGCCTCATTCTGTAAATGAAAATATTACAAATCAGCCTGCCCAGAACAATGTCTTGTCACTGTTACATTTTTTGTCTCTTTTACACCAACTGGCATTTATGTGCTGCCATTTAGCTTATCCTTCCCTCTTGGAAAAAGATGAATGAGGTTTTGTTAGACGTACTGCACTTGTTAAAATGCTTTCTTGGTCCATGACTGTAATTAGCAAGTGCTACACTAACAGAGCATTTCAGAGTGTTCTGAATTGTCTCGGAAGCAGTAGCTCTATACATGGTTGCCTACATCCTTGTTTAAATATAGTCTGCTACAGTAAACCCTAAAAACCAGTCTACTAATTGCCTCTCAGAAGAGAAATAGCAGATCTTAAGCTTACTTGAGAAATCAGGACAAAACTCTTTATGACCATCACCTACAAATACAACTCTAAAGACTGAAGTCTGACCCCTATATAATGGGCAGACCCCACAGCTTAGGTTTCCAGGACCAAAACTCTAAAGATATAAACAGGGGTATGATTACAAAGACTGTTAATATTCAGAAACAAAAATACTTAGGACTTGGTCTGTTTTAAGACCCTAGTAATCATTTCACAAATATGCAATGGCATGAAGTCTTCAGTGATCATCCATTCTCAGCAACATGTACAATTACTGTATTTTAATGTTTTTACCTGGAAGTGGTGGAGTTTGTTTTTCAGCTCTTTCGACTGCTACCTCTTCCATAGTTTTAGGAATGTCATCTGCATTCTTTACAGGTGTAGAGACCGCTCCTGGTTTCGTTATTCTCTCATCTTCTTTGCTTCGAAGACTGTATCAGAAAAAAGATTTACTCTACATATAGAATTGTTTCTATGACTTTGATCTACTAAGACTAAAGAATAAATCCTTTCATTCATGAAGTTAATGTCTAGTGGGTAAGGAACTACCAACTACTATTTAACAAGGCTTTGTTCTTAGACTATCACATCATTAATAATTTTTACCATTTCTTAATCCAGGCATTTTTTCCCTAACTTCATGTTAATAAAGGACTTCTCTACATATGGCTATTTAGAAAGAGGAAGGACACAGTGAAACATACTGCTCTCCACTTCAAGCACGGAAGTCATAAACATGCTCTGTATATTGAAAGCTTTCAAAGAAATTGAGAAGGGAAGAAACGGAGAAGAGCAGTTATGATGGCTGTCTTCATACACCTCCCTACAGAAATCATGGATTTTTAGACTTAATTTTTCATCTTTGCTGTGATCAAGCTAATATATCTGATCCTTCATATGCCATGTGCTCTGGAACAAACGTGTTGTCAGTGCAGCTCTTGGTAGGGATTTGCAGAGATAAAAGGTAGAACACAAACATGCCCTTGATATCTTAGTCTTCAGAAGACTGTAAGGCCTTCAATCCAAGCTATTACAGGACAGGAATGCTTCTCATACACTCAGTCATCCATGTATTTCAGTAATACAACAACTCGCTGCTTCTTACGCATTTGTTACAAATGCTTTCAGTGTAAAACAAAGACATGTAGAAAAACTTTAAAAAGAAAAGAATAAAATCTCTTGTTCTTTACACAATGAGACTAACTAAAGCTCATAGAACATAATTTCTATTCCTTCAGCTCAAAGGATCAGGCATTCTTATGTTGTTATATAAAAGTATAGCTACCAGCTGTACCATAGTAGAAATGAACAATACGTATGTCGTATGTCAAAATGCTGTTAACACTGCTATCTTTTGAAACTTAAATCATTTAATAGGCTCAGAGCATTAATAATCACCTGGAAAAACAGAAGTAGGTCAATATATCAAAGAGGCAGTCTTAATTCAAGACCATGTACATTTAAAAAAAGGAAATACAATTGCTGAAAGTTGTCAAATAAACAAGGATGTAAAAAGATAAAAAGTATCGGAGACAAGAGACACAAACAAATCACAGCTTTTTATGTAGTAAGAGACTCAGTTGCCCAGTAGGGGAAAAATACTTCCTCAAAGAGAACAATGGCCTGGTCAGTAGGCGCAAGCCCATCTCCTCTCATAAAGAAGGTATCTGTCAAGTCTTCCACTACCAACAGCTAGATGGTGCTACTAGCAAATAATGAGTATCAATTCCCTTAAAGTTCAAATGTACCAAAAAATAAAAAAAAGTTTTATTTTAAAGAGTAAATACTATTTTTAATCAAAACTGATATTTCAAGAGTTGGAAGTATGACTCAGGAAACAGATCCCGACAAATCTATTCATCCAAGATGGGCAAAAAACAATAAATAGTAAACATCTAAATACAAGAAGAATGTGCTTTCCTGAAGCAATGTGAAGTCTTAAACACCAGAAACAAAGCTTAGCTATTCAGCCAAGACACACTAAAGACTTTTCAGCACTTTCTTCTGCCAGTTCTGAAGGCAACTAAAAAGAAAAAAACAAAAAAGCTACCACCAAACATACACACACACACACAAAGAATACAGAAACGCACTGGAAATACTGCCACCCCAACAATCTGGGAAGACACTGGCACCCTTACCCTTAACAACCATCTTGCTGCAAGTCGCTGGTAAAAACAAGTACAGCAGCCTAATTTTTAAAATACTTATTTGTGCCTTATTTATTCAGATAAACCCCTTTGTGGGAGCTTCCAGAGTTGATTAAAATGATGCTAAAACCACTACATCCAAAATAATTAGAAGTTAGCCTTGATCTTTCTACTCTGCTCCCCAAGTTCACCTGTGAAAATCTTACTACTTCTCTTTCTGATTTCCAGCATATTTTAATTTGCACATGAAATTACGTACATAAACTAAGAGCTTATATTTTTCACCTCCAACACCAGACTAAAGTATGACTGGACTCCTCATTCCCCTGAAACTACTTCCTGGCTCACCAAAAACAGACCCACATGCATTTAGCAGTTCAAATGCATATTAAATGTCTTGGAAAAAAACCCTGTAGCAGTGCAAGCTATAACTCCCTGTCCACAGATTTTTGGGTAATGAGCACCAGTTAACAAGATATTACAGTAGATTTCCCCATGAGCCCTATCTGTTTCCACACATCTCTTAACACTTTACAGAAGCATTATTCCAAAGTAGTAGTATCTCTGTTTTGCTTTAAAAATACTGCAGTTACTAAACAAGAACAAAGTTAATTTTATATTTCTTCTCCACATAGTCCAAAACCAGTGCAATTTTATGCTGATTTTATACCCACATATAGAAAAAGGAACATAATTATGGAAGAAAACAGCTCCCAGGGACAGTAACCAAAACAGAGTTATTGAGAACAAAGCACAAAATAGTGGTGGGTAAATATCTGAAGCAATAACCTTCTAGACCTGGGCTACTGCTATGCATGTAGACAAACTGACAACTTCAATGCCTGTGAAAGGTCAGTTTTACTCCATCTAAGGCAAGAAAGTTTGAAAGGGAAAAAGCTGACAGAAGTATAAATGGTGACAGAACAAAAAGGAAGAAAATCAGAACAGCAGGAGAGTAGTATTTTTCTTGATTCACTCAAATTGTCTGGTAAACACCGAGTATTTCGCGTTACAAGATGATACAGGAAACTCTTGACTGATGCTGTCACTGGGTTCTGGGTGACAGAAACTTGTTAAAAACCTGACAGCTGCACTTCCCAAGACGCTATGTATTGTTCACTGTGTGCACTGTGACACTATTGTTTAACATCTGTGCTGCATCAGGGCCCCCTCTACCTCACTTTCCACCCCTTTCTTTTTAAAGTGTATCTAACAAGCACGTGACTTTCAGTCACAAAATGACATCAGCTATACACTACTGCCATCAGCTGTGACTGTTACTTCAGAACTGAAAGAGACTGTCTGCAATACACAGTTGGAATGTTTGTTTGCACAACAAGTTTTGAACATGCAGGCTCCTTCCAAAAGTGTTTTTAGCACATATCAAAAAGTTTACATGAAAAGACAGGCAAGAAGCTGTCCTGTACTCCAGTTTCTCAACTTGTTTTGAAAGTGGACAGATGTCTCATGCTGCATATAAACTGACAACTGTATTACAGAAGTCAACAACATCTTTCCAGAAGTAATGATGACCTCTACAAAGATTTCTCCAAGTTGCCACATCTTTCTTCTTGAGAAAGTGTTAAAACATATCAGAAAATGTTTTTGCTCTTCTAGTATCCAGGTGAGGAAGGCAGCATATGAGAGTTCCCAAGTGGGATTTCTTTCAACAGGTAAAGGGCAACCCAGCAATGAAAACTGACAGGGCTTGTCACAACCTGGCTGTAAATGCCACTTTTCAGGATGGGTTCAGCTCAGCAACCTGTTACTGCCAGAAACTTATGGAAATTCTATATCCAGGAAAACTGCAGTCACACTGGTGTGTATATACCAGCATGGAATACTGAAAGACGAACACCGAAGACCCTACCAGACCCCAAAGCAATACTGAAGCAAGTCTGCTGGCAGATTTCTGTATATTAGTGGACACCTGAAAGTGTCAGTCTGTAGTTAAGCTTGTATGAAAAGGATTCCCCTGGAGTTTCTCTCCTCATTAACATACAAACACTTGGCAGAACAGGATTTAAATAAAGACTCATAATCTTCAATATGTTTGTAATGTATCTTTAAGTTCAAATGCGATTCTCAAGCCTTTTTTTCTTCTAGATTGTCTACTGAATTTTAAATTATAAAGCAGTTGCAGCTAATTTTATCTTATAACATATCTGAACTTGCACAAGTAACCACTACGAAGAGAAGTTGCTTTTAACATGTTTTTCTTTGCATGGCTCAGGGCCCAGATTTTCTGATCTTGAAAAGAACATGTCCAACAGGAAGTCAATCCATGCCAAGGTAGTTCTTGTTCATAAAGTAGATAGAGCGGATGCATTCAGAGTTGAGATAACTTCAAAGTTCCTTCTCAGGAAGGATTTAATTCTTCTGACAGTGTAGTCCATAGGGAGGAAGTGACCATGTACCTAAACCACTGTAATAGGACAGGAAAGCACTAACACTAGGGTAAGTCAGTCACAGTTTCAGTTTTGATGTGTTTTTTTTTGTTATTCCTCCCTCCACAAGCCCTTTTCGCACAACATTAGAAATGCAGGTCCAGAAAGAAAGGCTTTAAAAACCAACAGAGATACCTCAACCTTCAGAATCAAACCCCAGCATCTCAGATGCTGCTTTTAAATTTTTCCCATTAATACAGGGTTCTTACTTGAAAACAAACTTTCATGATTTGTGGTCCCCCCAAACAGCATAGATGGAAGAGAAACAGGGATGTTTGTAAACTATGACCCAACCAGGTGTGTGTGCATGTAAGATCGGCCTTGCAGTTTTATAAACCATTAGAAGACACTACAAACCTTAAAAGGCGCAAGTGTTATTTTCCCCTTAGGCAAACAAAATGTTATTAGCAACTAGTCAGGCTTATCTTTGTTTTATGGAACAACCAGCTGCAATTGGGTTTTGACAGTTATCTGTATTTTTGACAGTATCTGTAAAACTTCAAATACAGGCTCTGAATTTGGAATTTGCAACAGGTCAATTTAACTTCTACTCCATCATCTGTGAGCATCCAGAAGGTAAACTTTTCTCTTACAAATATTTAGTAGAACCTAAAATCCAACACTGACATTCTATGTCAATAAATTAAAATGTCAATTTCCAACAAACTGGAAATACAAAACAGGACGTATGTCTATTATTCAAGACTAAAGTTTCACCTGACAGAAGACGTATCAAACCATACAAAAGATTACTTCTCTCTAAATTCATATAACACTTGTCTACTTCAGAATTATCAAAGTCCTAGTCGGACCAAGTTCAATTATTAAAAAGTACATTCCAAAAGCTAAATCTGCTGTGCAATACACCTTATTTGATAGAGGTTAAATGTATTCAGAAACAAAATGTGCAGAAACAGAAGATAAGTTTAGAGGTGGCTAAATAAAGCAAGATTTCAATATGTTTTTAGAGGTGGCTAAATAAAGCAAGATTTCAATATGTTTAACCAGGTTGAGCATTCAACAGGAACTGTGCTTCTAGTCTGCTCAAATATCCTTGCAGTTAACTGCCTTCTAAAAGCAAAATGTAACTGCATATGCTTCAATAACATATTGCTATCAAACTTACATTGCATTAATACAACCATGTTCTAAGGTTATGTTTAAAAAAGGGATAGCATTCAAGTTAAACGTTCAATTTCTCCTGAAGTCTAACAAAATTTGGATCATTATCAGCTACATCTCTCGAAACAAAGAATGCCATATTACTGCTATCATAGCTCTGCACCATGTTACTCACATTTTAATCCAAGTACTATTACAACACATTAAATAGTTGATTTTAAAAAAATAAAATAGTATAATGCTGCCATCACCTGCCGTTGCTGGGCTGTTGTGGAGAATGTCTGGAATGGTCTGAAGGCTCTGACCTCTGGTCAGGAGATCGTGAACGACTGCGGCGGGGCCTGTCATGGGATCGGTTGGAATGATCTGATGCCAGCGACTGAATTTCTGAAATGTCTGTTAAATAAAAGTTGTTTTTTCATGAAATGATTGTAATTAAAATGGTGGCATGACCTGCTCAAATGGAAATAAGCTTTTGCAGAGAACTTTTATGAAGATGTTGAATCTGTATTTATTATTTTGAAACAACTAATATTCCTGACAGAACAATTACGAGAATTGTTACTCTATAGTTTTCTCCCATTTATGAAGGTGTAGATTTCAATCACATTCAAACAAGAATTTACCCACATGACAATCTCACGCCTAACTCTTCTCCCCCCCCCCCCCCCCATCCCACTTATTTATTTCACATCTTTACAACACAGGGAATTCCTCTCCACCTTTGGAAATCAAGTTTATTCATGCTCACCATCTCTTTCTGATGCATTAGCAGAATGAATACTGTCAGAAAGATCAGGGACATTCAACAGTGTAGCTCTTTCATCTCGCTGAACGACCATCTTCAACTTCCCTTTTGATCTTTCTATTAGCGTTTTTGCATCTGCTAAGGACATATTTTCTGTCACTGTGCCATTTATCTAGAAGAGAAAAAAGCATATATAAACTTACTGAAAAAAAAACAGTGAATCTCCAGATACACATACCCACAGATTATATTTAGAAATATCCAAGATATTTACCCAATTACCAATATACAATGGACGATTATTAGGCTAATTCAAACTATGTAACATAATACAGAAAATTTTTTCACCTTTCAAAGACAAAGCCTCTACCACCAATACAAAACTTTTAAAGTATTAGTTGCATTTTTTTGAAGCACCACTGCTATATTCAGCGGTTAGGAATGGCACGTTTTTCTGCACCAACACATTTACATTAGTATCTTCAAATAAAAAGTGCTCAGTATGAATTAGAAATCCCTGGATATACTGATTTTTACCAAAAAAAAATTAACATTTAAACTGAAGACGAATTCCAGTAACGCTCAATGGCACAACATCTGAGAAATACTGATTTATACTTCAATTCATTGATCTCTGAAATAATTTAGTAAATTATACATCTTCTACCAACAATAATTATGCTATTAAGAGACAGCTTATTCTAAGAACATTTGCACAACACTCTTCCTTTTGAGCCAACATCACCACCATTTACTGTACCTTCAGTACAACATCTCCTTCCTGAATATTGCCATCTCGTGCTGCCAGGCTATCCTGTGATATTTCCTTCACAAATATGTGACTTGCCAACCGTAGACCATACTCTTCATACATCAGCAGTAAGAGAAAAAGAGAACTTATGAAACAGCAGTAAAAATGTAGGGAGGTATGTGAAGATTTACATTTACACTGGAAACACAAAGAGGACAGTGAACTCGGCACACGAAGGGCTGCAGTGGAATTACACTATGGATTTACCATTATATCAATCTCTTTTCTAACTCTGCCTGTTATCATAGCTGTTACTCAATAGCTTAATTTAGACACTACATACAGTTTGTCCTTTTCCAAACAAGACAGGCACTGAAGACTCAGCTAAAGCATATGGAAAGTATGCAGCCACTGAACACCAAATGTCAGGTGCACAGTTGGGGTTTGTTTACATTATATGATACTTTAATTAAGCCCATGTATTTTGGAATATGAAAAATACCACCAGAAACACACTAGCAGTTTTTAAATTTTCAGCTAGCTACTGGTAAAATGGGCCAACAAACTGTTAACAGCGCTGCTCATACAGTGAAGCACTTCACACTGAATGAAGCAGTTGGCCTTTAAAAAAACAGCAAAAGTCTTAGCAAGAGAATTACATACAAGTTACCTTCATTCTTCCTTGATTTCACCAGTGTTACTTTGGTGGGTTTTGCAGGCTGACTTGATGTAACCGACCTTCTGTCTGATCTTGGTGATAAGCTTCTCTCTCTGCTAGCACTCCGATCTCTTACCCAGCTCTTTTCATGCCTTCTGTTAGCACTTAGACCACTACGGCTGCTTCTTGGATCACGTATCTCTTCATCATAGCTATCATCCTCATTTTCAGACACTGGTTCAGGTTCTGGTCGAGCCACTGGAATCTGAATTTTCTTCATCCTTCGGATAGTCTACAACCAAATACTAGATATCAGCCTCTGGCTGTGTAATGCCAATGGTGTTACTGAAGGTCAGAAGACAAGACAATCCCAAAACTCGCAAGAAAACACATACGTATTTATGAATGCCCTGACTTCTTGCATCCTCACTATAAAAATTCTACGCAATCAATACAGATTGCTAGAAACATTTTTTGAGTGCTATGTTTGGTTTTACAGTTGTTTTAGTCCTTTCTGGTTCCCAAAAAGTGGCAAAATGATAACATTACAATAATACATAACACAATATTCTGTCTTCAGAGCTGCACATTTGAATGTTCTCTCTCTTTGCTTAAACCCACAGATCAGTTACTGGCACTGCTAAAAAACTTCCTTTTCCTAACATACAACCTACTATACACTCAGTGTGCTACTGACAGAAAGTCTCTTCAACTCTGAAGCTTCCCAAAGCAATATTTAGCAAGCCACAGAGGAAGAGGAACATTTTCACTGAAAGTTCAAAGTTGGTTTACACTAGCGTAGTCAGCCATTTCCAAAAAAGGCCTCAAGCCTGTTTAGAGGCTTATTTGCTACGTATTACAGAACTGAACCAAGTTATAGCATCAAGTTTTCATTAACTGCTTTTCATTACATTAATCTACACACCAAATATGTAAGATGCTAAAAGACCTGCACAGCTAATATTCTGGTGTGTGCAAGCTTTAAGAAATTGCTAAATCTACAAATACAACATATGACACACTTCTTGCAAGTATATTAAAAGCAGAAGAGCACTAGAAACCTGTCAGCATGAAAGCTTTTCTACAAGCCTGTTTTTCTACAGGCTGTTTTCCTGAACTAGCTGTTAGACATTGTGCATTTAATTTTTTTGTAAAAATCTCAAACTTCTACAGAACACCAGATTACTACCCTCAAGTGATGACCTGTATGTTTTGCAAAGTTCAAAAGCAAACCACTTTGAATAAGCCTACAGAATTATAGGAATTAAGGTAATTATACTTTATTTTGGCAAACTGCTTATTGAACATAAAAAGAATGGTGTTAGTGTCTGAACTGTGGGTAAAGTCCTTCAGCATACACAAGCCTTTGAAAATCTTGGTAAGAGTGCTTTTGGTAAACTGAGAACTTTACCATGAAGAAAAGGAGTTGAAAATATCCAGTGCTACATTACCTAAATATAATAATTTATAATAAAAAAAAAATTTGAGTGACCCACATGATAAACTCATATTGATTGTCACTTATAACATGCAGCACCACACAGGTATTATTCTAGTACCTTGCATCATGCATGTATTTCATAGAAGACAGTACACCATTTCACTTTTGCTCTGTAACTACAAAATTTAAGGAAGCTTAAATCTTTAAGACATTCACTTACAATTTTGGCATTCTTCCCACTTTTCCTCAGCTGCTGAACAGCAAACGCATGCTCGACATTATCCATTGAAACTCCATTAACCATTGCAACACGGTCATTTTCTCTAAATGAGAAACATCATAATGCACAACATAAATACTTTATGCTAAGGGGGAATGAGTGTCATTGACCAGATGAACTGTATTATAAACCTACTATACAAACAATTACAGATCAGTATCTTGAGAGCAAAACAATTGGGAGGCTTACCTACCAGTGACAAAGATGAATGCCCCCCCAAATCAGAATACAGGTATAGTTTGGCACTTACTGCAGCAGTCCTTCTGCTGGGCCTCCTTTCAGCACATCAGAAATAACTATTGATGTCTCACCGCTTTGAAAGTGAGGATTATCTCTTCCTCCAGATATTGCAATACCAAAACCAAAACCAGGGGCCTATAACATAATAGAAGCAATATTTTTACTACCTAATATTTACATAGTCAATATTCACATTCCTCTATCAAACACAGAAAGGTCCTATGGGATGAACAAAACTTTCTGTAAGAAAGAAGGATCAATGAACCATGCCATGCAATTCAAGAACAGGAGAGCGATTAAAAATAAACACTTTTAGAAGGCATAGAGTCTTAGCCTAACTACCCCATTTCTCCCAAGAGAAAGAGATTAGAGGTACTTTTTTTATGGTGTGGGCCTCTGGTGGCCATTAGTGAGACCTCAATCTTCAGTAAGCACAACATACCATACCACAGTATCAAGATAGTGATTCAAACTTGTATCACATGCTGCAACACTTTCTTTGAGGTTTCACAGTATGGCCTTTACCCAGCTTGCCCTCACTTAGCTCAGGAACCAACAGGATCACAGCACACAGCAGTACAACTGCAGGCTCAGTTCTTAGGAATACCAAGATCACTTGTACCATTAAATAAATACATCAAAACCTTGTCAGCACTTGCAAATCATCTGCATCTTAACAAAAGTAATTTGCTTCAATCTTTTCCCTCTAGGGTGACCTGCCACTACAGCAAGGTCAATGCCTCTGAAAAGTTATTCTTGTTAGTTATTTCAGGATCAAGAATGATGCTTACATTTCTGCCTGGAAGCAGTGGGGGTGGGAAATAAACTTTATAAATGTTAACTGATTTACAAACTATCTAGTTTCTCTGTCATTGCCCAGAAAACAGTCGGAAGGATATTACCACTTAAATACTGTATTTTGCTCAAGAATTTACTTTGAAGTTTTTGACTGTGCATGACAGTCAGTGGATGGGAAAGATGAGGTTTCAGCCAATTCCTCCTATTTCACACAGCAGACACTCCATGCTGGCAGACTTATTCCTTTCTTCAGACTTTGTCAAACATGACCCAGCTTTAGGAATGAGTTTCATGAAGCTACATGGCAGTCTGCACCTGGCTGCAAGACACGATACTCATTCCCATTTCTCCCAAAAGGTAGGTCATAAAAAGTTGGTCCAGATTTAGCCTATAAGCAGTAAATAAGTAGGACCATACAATACTAAAACAGAAGTCTGGAGATTCACTGTTCAGAAATCAATTTCAACAGTTAGCAAATCCTGTTGCCAAGTATGAAGAACATTAAGTTGGTCTAACAAGTAGAGGGGGAGTGGGGTGGAGTACACCTTACTGCTTCTACATTCATTTTAATTCATTAAAGGAAAACTGGACATCTTTTCAAGATGCAGCCCACCCAGATCAACCAGAAATCACAGCTGGGATTCAAGAATTAATGAAACCCTGTGCCACGCGGGACGACAGTCTAAAGGATCGTAATTGCCTACTTATGACAAGAGCTGAGGTTTTTGTTCAGTTTTATTTTCTAAATAGTAGACCAAGAGAACATATAATAGGCTATGAAAATATGTAACAAAACCCTCTTTCAAAACAGTAATATTTCCCCTTTTTCATATCACTGCTGCTTCTTTAAATATTCCATTATACACATATATTTGGGTGGGGAAGGAAAAAGGAGAAGACAAAGACATTTATGTCAAACTTCATTAAATGTTCTCTACCTTTCCTTACACCATAAGCAAAAAAATTCTCATAGCTCTTCACTCATGAGGAGAAATAAAGTCATTAGGCCAGCAGAGATGCAGAAACTCACTATGAATCTTATCTTGGTGCTTGCCATTCTATTTTTTGAGCAGATTTGCAAACCAGATCACCACTATTAAGACAACTAGTTCCACATTTTCCATGCTATTCCTTTTCAAGAAGGCCTGAAAAACTAATCTCATATGCATACATCAGTCCCATGATTAGTCAAATGCTTTCTAATAACATAAATCAAAGTCTGAAGAAATACTCTACGTTATAAAGTATAAATGAAACCCTGAATCTTTTTAAAAATTTAAGACTTTAAGTAATCTGCCAGTGAACCTCAGCCTACTACTTTTCATCATGCTGCCTATCTTCAGCTTAAGAGATAAACAATAAAATGAACTACTCTCAAAATTGAACTTGGCTCCTAGACGTCTGGAAATAGCAAGATGATCACTACAGATTATACAAGATATAAATATGTATCTTAACTAAAATCACGTATTTTTTTTGTTTGTTTAAATCAGCCACATCACAAATTCACCTGTTAGATACTGCAGTGACAACACTAATCAAAACAACACACCCCCCCCCCAAAAAAAAAAAAAACAAAAAAAACAACAAACACGAAAAAACAACCCAAAATGTACTATTCTGCTCTCCCACAGTACAGCAGCATGGGAGGAGCAGAAAGGCTCTTCAGAAGGAACACATCTAACACAGACACACGGAGCTTTAGTTCCGAATATGAAGAAATCCACATAATCTATGAAGTGTATAGATCCTCCTTAAGTCTTTTACAGTTAAGTATACAAAAGCAGAAGATTTCTCAATAAAACATGAACTGTAGCTACCTGATAAGCTTTAGCTGAACTTGACACTGGCTCAATCTCTTACAAGCTAAGCAGCAGTCTAAGAAGTTGGAAAGATAGTAAAGAAAGGGAACAAAACTCTAGGTTAGAAGTTCAAGCGTCTTCTCCTCTAAAGAAGTTTCTATTAAGACTTTTGCACAATCACGCTGGAACTCACCAACTACTGTGTTATATCACAACACAGACTGCTTCTGTGCTCTGCTCCAGACTCTCTCAGATACCCAAAACGGATTAAAAAAACCCTGATGTTTGAACTGTCAAAGCACCTCTGCTATCATGTATATATATTGCAACTACTGGGATTAAATATGCTATTTCCCAAATCTGCATGACATCTCTAGAAAGTAAAGGTCATAGACAGCAACCCTTCAGAAGAAGTGAGTAAGGCTGCATTTTTCAACAAGAAGTCCCTATGTAAAGCACTCCCTTCTTTCTGTGAGGCTCATCTTCTGAAGTTTATATAACATACTAACCCCTTTTTAAAGGGTCATTACAGGATCCAAACATGTTCAAAAAAACCCAACACATGTATCTTCAAGATATTTAAAACTTCTGAACTGCCATTAACTGATTTATAGATCAGTAACTATCCCCATAACAATGCAGAAGCATTTTTAAGATGTTTAATCCCTCAGACACCGAGATGTAAAAAAAAAAAAAACAAAAAACTCATCAATTGATTATACAGATAGAATACCTTATAGTATCTGCTACTGTGGCTTTTTTACTTCAGGAAGAAATTGCATACAAATGATAACTGGTTTTCTAAAATCTGATGAGTACTACCTAAACTGCTTTTTGTGTTTTACAGTTTTGGCTACCTTTATGGAGTCCATGAAGAGTTAAAGGAATCCTACTCTGCCATAGACAGAAGCAATGGAGTTTTAGTAGAGAACAGCACAGGTTTAAAAATGTCAGTGCTGAAATTACCTACAGGATAGAGGTAAGTCTCAAAACAGGAATAAACATAGTTCAGAATATTCTACGAAACTTTGCTAACACACACACGGCACCCAACAAACTACTTGCATTCCCCCTCTATTTTTAAGGCTGTTCACTCCAATAGATGCTAGTCATCCTTACTCATTAAGTAGTTTTGATCAAATACCATGGAAGATAACCTGGTTCCTACATAGTTTCTTTGGGACACTTGGAGGGACAACAGATCTGCTTGCCATTATGAAGAGACATGAACTGATCTAGACTGACACCAACTCTGCACTTGTCTGCCTTTCCCAGGGGGACTTACTAAGGGTTCATATTTATAATGAATTTATACTGGACCTCAGCCTTCCAATTACTTGTCTAACTTCATTTCGGAACTCAAATACTGACAAAAAGGCACAAAAAGGTTTGGTAAAAGAGCTTTGCAGGCATATCAATAAAACAGGAAGCCCATAATGGGAAGCCCAACTTGCATCTATCCCATAGAAATTCAGCATGTTAAGTATCTTAATTCCATCATACACAGCCGTGTTACTGCTCTCAGCTAAGCCTAAATCAGAGGGACATTTTAGCGTGCCTCACTAGAAAGTGAGTTCCATTCTTCAGAATGTTCTTTGTGTGGCTGACAGTAGAAGTTCTATAGCAGTTCTGTAGCTCAGCCAAGTCGAACAGATAAACTCACACAAAAAATATTCCACAATCACTCAGAGTGGCATTTCAAGTCTATTCCAATTCTGTAGCTTCTAGATACTTTTGAGGATAACTGAGATCTGGATGCATTTCACTCCTTCCAACTAAAATGGAGTCATCTCATTTACTGGATAACCTAACACGACAAGAATGTCACAAATAAAAAGCAAAATCAAAAGCCCCACAAACAAATCTGCAGTTGCTCTCCTAAATCCTCTTCCCAGCGCTAAGGATAAATTCTAAGCACCAGTTTGCTTCGCAATATTATAAGAATTTTGGTGTTGTTATCTGGCAGATGAAAAACATTCATTGTTGGTTCTAATTGGCTAAAATAATACTATCAAATTATTAACAGTACATGCCATCAGCTTTCAACATACAAATGAAAGATACCTACTCAAATAACAAAACAGTTAAAACAGTACAGTTGGCAGAAGTTTGGCACATGAAGTATCAAAACTGAAACCATCATCAAACTACACTTTTCACTGATATACTATACAAAGACATCTGACTATGTACAAAGACGTGATTTCTAGTTCCTATCTATTATTTCACAATTTGCTTGTGGTAACACCATATTGCATCATCTCATTATTCCTTTGGCTCACTGACTGAACATGTCATTTTCAAGTTTCACTGAAATAACTTTTTTTTAATGTAAGACAGTACTGATTCAATGAGTAATATGAGCAAAAAAAAATTTAAGTTTACAGAGGCTCCAGAGATGACTGCACAGCTTCAAAAACACATGAAAGGCAATTACATATAGAAATAATACTTCTTGCGCAAGAACTTGTTGACCTAAAAATCACTGGAAGCTTTAAAAGTAGCCTAGATAACTATGGCTACACAATTTTGGTTTTACTCATACTTTTCCTTCTACGTGTGGTTGCAGTTACAGACAGGATACTTTGTCAGAAAGCCTTCTGGTCAAGCCGAGTGTAGCCACTCTCCTCTTAAGAGGGCAAGCTCTCAATGATTATTTTGAATCAACAACATTAAACTCAAAAGAATCAACAGAAAGACTTTCCTTAAGCAACTCACTCCTTACTGTGTCTCTTGTACAGCCTCACAATAGCTACATCAAAAATCAATTTGGTAAGAGTAACTCAAGTAAAGGAAGAGTCAACCTAAATGTAAAAGCTGTCTTCCTATTCCCTGACTCCCTGTAAACGTTACTTTGTCAAAGGTGCACTTCTGGCCACCCAAACACACTATTTTCAGTCACTTCAAGAAAGGGGCAAGAAAATAAGGCAATTTTAAACACATTTATACTTAACTACATTGTTTTATGCCCCCGCAAATAAAGTTTTACATTTAAGTATAAATTACAGCACAATCATTAATGAACACTTAGATTTCTAACTACTTTCACTTACATAGAGAAGTAATCTAAAGCTTTGTTTCTGGCATGGTTATTTGCTGGCAGACTTATCTCTGAAATCCAACAAAGAAATACAGTACTATCACATGAAGCTTTTACAACACTTCTAAATTTAAAAACAAAAAATATGACAGTTTCCTTTTCTTTTACTTCCTGACACCTGGCTTTTTCCTATTGTTTTCAAAAGCTACCAGTATCCTGCGTTAGGCAGACACAACCAATTGTATGAACTTACCCTGTGAAGAGTCACTGTGTGTTGTTCCCATATAGCTGTTTCTTCCATTGTTGTGCTCTAAGGAGAAAAAAGAACCCAAAGATTAGACTCACTGTCAATCGCTATACTAAAAGACTATATAATACCACAGAAACTTACACTCTTTAATATTCATGTTGAATAGCTACCGAGAAGTAGGGCTAGCTCATTCGTTACACATTTCCTGTCTTTGTATGTCACATCTGAACTTCCCGTGCTCCCAGGGAAGTGGGGCAAGGGTAATAATAGGCAAAATAGATTTCTAACCATTATGTATTTCAGAACTTGAAGTTATAAAGATGTTTAAAGGGAAGGACTACAAGAACAATTTGTGATGTAGGCTCTCTTGCTTGCTCAGTTAAGTGGATTAAGTAAATGAAGCTGGTCCAAAGCCCACTTTCCATTTTCCACTGTGATCAGTTGTATTTGTATTCTAACTTACATACTTCATACTTTTTTGAACATACTCTTTTTGCGTGTTTTAGCCGTACAAAGAATACCACTAATTCATGGATGCCCAGCTATAGTTTGCAGTACCTGTGCTACTGTATTATGCACACAAGTCCCATTTAACAGACTCCACAGTTTAGAACAGGCTAATTTCTTTGGTGCACAGTAGCACTGCAGAAATAACATGGTCCTCTTTAAGGGAACTAAATTAAACAGTAACATTATAACAATATTTACATACCTACATTTCTGCTTCAAAGAGCAGACATTTGCACTACTTAATGTGCCACCACAGGCAAACACTGGAAAGGACAAGATGGCTTGAGGAAGGAAAACTAGCAGAGCCAAAGGCTTGAAAATGGGCAGAAAGGCAGCAGAAAATACAAAGCAAACAGCATTGAAGTCTCCCACTCTAGTACTGTACATTTTCTACCTTTCCAGAGGGCGTTCCCAGTGTTTTGCTCCTTACTCTCCCCTCTCACAAGCAAGCAATCCACTAACTAAGGAACAGAATCAGAACACAAACATCTCAATCTCAACAGAAACAATGTGAGAGTGTTTAAAGTTTACCCTTGTTTCAGTTACTGTAACTCAGCCACTACAACAAAAGAGTAGTCCTAACTTTTAATCCAGTCCTGTACTGTAACAGGGAACAGCAGCTGGAGTGCTACTCTCACAATCAATAGCTCCGAAATCTTGATGCAATTTTGTAACATCAGAATTTGCAACCAGGTTTAAATAGCGAGCTCTTCTTGTGACCCCAATGTGCTACATTACTGCTAATTTCTTTTTCAGGATTTGCTTCTGCTGGAAGTGTTGATGCAACTTAATTGGGCTATACTTCATTCAAGCGGCTTTTGTTCCCCTCCATTCAATACCAAATGTTACTCCTTTGCATTACAAATTGATTCAACTCCACCCCAGAATTAGATTATTTCTCCAGCTTTTTAGAAGTAGACCAGATATATATTAAAACAGTAATGATTTACACAGAGCCACCTCTGAAACAAAACAGAATGTTTAGCTTGCTAAAAACTGTTAATGAATACTGATTTTCTTCCCTATTCCTGATGCTCTCATTCTGTCTTATTTTTGGCAAGAACTTCTCAGTCTGAACATCTTGTCAACAAGTGAAGAATTATCTCTGCAAGTGAACTTCTGAAAGAAAGAACTCTAAGTAGCTCCTATTAAAAAAAAGCAACACCAATCTAAAAGACTGCAAAAAAAGCGCAGTTCACATTTTTATTGAAATACGTTGTTTCATTTCTATCTGAGATTATCAACAAGTTAACCCGACTCGCTCACTGACTGCATTTGTCCTGGCAATGCCACCCAGGTACAATGCTCCATCAGCAAAGGCACTTTTGCACAGCACAGTTTTGAGCTACTTAGCTAACAGCACCAGATTTCAATGGTTCCAAGTTCTTCTGCCTCACTGTTGACTCAGTACACAGGGCATGGTGCAAACACACCAACTGGTCCTGGGTATGGCAAAGCCTGATAAAACACAGTTTAACCAGCTAAGCACTCCTCCCACTGGATCTGAGAGAGCTTGTGATCTCAGAGTTGGAGTAGGATAAGATAACAAAAACAGCTAACCAATGACTAAGAAAAAGGAAGTGACCTACATAACATGCCTTTAAGAACTGTAAGAAGACTTACTACCTCACAAAACAGCAAGACAAACCCTGAAAAACCACTCACATAATCTCTTCCTAAAACTGACCAGGGTGTTCACTCCTCAATTGACTGACCCTGCCTGCCATTTTTAATGGCTTTTCCCTTTCTGCAGAAACTCAAGTCTTTCCATATTCTTTGCTTGTTCTTCTCCATCTTCTTGTTCATACTATCTCCTCCACTCATCTATTGCTATTACCTCCCCTACATTTTTACCAATACGTTCATTTCAAATTCACAAGACTTGGAAACTTCAAATATCCATTAGCTAAACAGACAACCAAGTGGTATGCTATTTTCATTCTTTCCGCATGCCCAAATACCAATCAAGAACAGTGAAAACAGTTCAAAAGCAGCCTGAGGTAAGTTGTTGGCTTTGACACAAACTGCTTACGTTAGTTTCTCATCTGTAAAGAACTGCATCACTCACAAGGCAAAGTTTGATGAAGACATGAGAAGGTACTGACCCTACTAAGTATTAACAACTGAGGCAGAGGAGCTAGTTTGCACCACCACCAGCCGAGGTCCCTGCTGTGGTGCTGCTCTTAGACCATGCTCACAAAGTGCTCTACATTTCATGCAGCCTTTGAATTTCAGGAATCTTGTAAGGACTTCATTCCAAAGTCTCTGGAAATGGCAGACACTGCTTGTAATTAAGGGGTACAGACAGAGTAGTTCTGCAGTGTTAGTGCCAGAGCCCCACTGACTGCTGGTGCCAAGCTTGCTATCCCAAATAAGGTCACTCACCACTGATTTAGGGGAAGTCAAGATGACTCAGCAGGAACTGAAAAATACATACAGCCTAGTACCTCAGAAACTAGGAATGTGTGAGAATACTAAGATGATACAGTTTAGGGTTAGAGTAACTGAACAGAGACCATTAAGTATCTCTGAAATGCAAGTGAAGAACTGACAGCATTTGGAACTTTGCAAACTCCAGATACTATTATGTATGGTTCTTTACACATATAAAAATAACAGAAAGAGAATAATGGTATCATGACTTCAGTGTTGGAAAAAAAAAAAAAAAAATTATGCTTGTGCTTCAAGAGTTTTCTTAAGCTCATGTTAAACACCATTATACAGCCAATTTGTAGCATTCCCAGCTCTGTATATGGCAAAAGGATGTGTTTGCAGGCTGTTTCTTGGTTTTGTTTTCTCACTAAGGGCAGTGAGATTAATACATTCTCAGAGAAAATCATATTTAGGGATCTAACTTACAACAGGCAGATTTTCAGGTCTTCCTCTGGCCAGTGCAAGAGTAATGTACCATGGAAAGTGATAAAGTACTTTTTGTATCTTTACAAACCTAATTTTGCAGATCAGCATTGACAGCAGTACTGCAGACAATAAAATGAAGCAACTACTTCTGCTACCTCAGGGGGCATATTGTTTCTATTCTCCACAAAATACAATAGAGAGGAAAGCTATCTATCTGTGACAGATACAAGCCTCTGCTCTAACCCTTTCAACTACAACAAGCAAACTACAAAAAAACTGAACCACCAGATTACAAATTTAACTAAAGAACACTACCTTTGCTCCGAAGTGTGCAGCCTCATGTTACAGCTTTTGCGCACTCCTTACTTCCAATAAAATACCAATGTCTAAAACCATTCCTATTTGTCTTGATAAAAATCACAGCAACTTTGAGAAATAGCTTTCTTATTCAAGATATGAAAAAAAGATAAAATAGAACTGGTAAGGGGCTGTATCAAAAGAAGGAACTAAGTTTAGATTTAGTGTTGGTCTCTTCAGAAAGACAGCAGACATTCATACGCCTTATTTATCTTGCTGCATTTCTATTTGGCTTCTATAATTAATTCTCTATTATTCTTTGGAAGCCCACACCAGCAGTGGGATGCTACTTAACTTAGAAGTTTTAAAGGTTAAAATGCAAAATCATTACACTTTGATTGCACTTATGGGAACAAGAATTAAAAGTGCTTAATGCAAAAAGTAGTATCTGCAACTGTCACAAGAATTTCTGCAGGTTTGTTGGGTATCTTGAAGATATTTAACATTCATTAAAAAAATTAAAAAAATCAAAGTCAATATCCAAAACAAACAGCTTCCTGAGGAAGTTCAGAGAAGAAAACAATCTTCCTCAGCCAGCCCAAAGCAGGGAATGAAGAGGCAATTCCCGCCCTCCAGCATCTTTTAGCACTCAGCTGGAGCACTGTTGCTTCCAACACCAACCAAGATGACCTCCTACAGATACTCCCCTTTTTCATTGCCTAATTAAACTACAGACACCTTAAAATTCCAACAGCTTTCCTTCAACTCTCTTGTAACAAAAGCCTTCAGCTCACAGAAAAAAAAAATAACAAAAAAAAAAATCAATTTTTTAACAGCCGTTCCTCTGCAATTAGTGCAATGAAGACAGAATCCTACTGTAAGATTGATTTTATCAACTGAGAGCTTTATCTTACAGAGTTTTTATACAACATATGCAATGCACCACGTTTACTCTCCAGAGCACCTTAAGAGATATTTGAGCTATTTCAAGTACTGGAAGCCAACTACTACAGCAAGTGTAGCCAAAAAGCAGGGTACTCCAAGGTAGGAAAAACACAGCAATATGCACACTGTAAAAAATGGGCGTTTGCATTCAGAACTGGGATATCTCTGCACTAGACCTTGCAAGCAGCCTACATCCTTGACTTTTACATAATCATCCCTCTTTGCAAGCAGGAAAGACTATTACCCTAAATGTATTTTTGAGGAAAGACACACTAAGAGATAGGACAGAACAGCTCAGGGACTGCTGCAGAGACAAACAACATGCACCTGATGCTATTTAATTATGTCTTTTACACACCAATGCTAAATGGAGCAGAAACATCCACTAAAGCATCTTCTTGGGAGACCTTTATGATATAAAAAATAAAAAAACAACCAAACAAAAAAAA